ATGACGGGGCCTGTGGGAGCGTACTGGCGTCGGGGGGGCGGGGCAGGTTCACTGGAAGAGAAAATCGACCACTTGGACACTCAGATCAGGCTGCTAAACATCAGGCTGAGTCGTGTCATAGACGGCCTTGAACGCACCGGGGACCAGTAGACTTAGGTGGCAGCGAGGATGAGGGGGAGGGAAGGGGATATTGTAAAAGTGGCTGCATTTGATGTCAGAATGCTGTATTCTGCGCACATCTGCCGCAACACAACTACTGGGTACTTACAACTCTATTGTCAGATGGGGGACAAAACTAGGCTTGAAAACAGTATTTTAATGGAATGTGTTGATTTTGGTTACAACATACCTAAAAATCCTCAGAGGTGTGGACAGTTAACTTGGAGCTCACACAAATCAACCAAACAAGTTCTCTTTTTTCTTTTTTTTTTTCTCTCAAGGCTTTGAAAGGTTTTTGCTATATCTGTAAAGAGGTTATCGGAGAGATGTCCATGGTTTTCTAAATGCTGGTCTAATTCTACACCTCAGCTACTTTTGAGGAAACTACCAAGCTGGGGTTTTTATTTTGGTGTTTGGATAAGTATTGTCAATGCTTGTGCTAAATGAATAAGCATATTTTATGTATGTTTGTTTATTTTTATCCTTGTGAAAAATCTGGGCAGTACAATTCTTACACAGGTTCATCCACAACCACAACCACCACCACCCCACCCCCTTTTTTTGAAACCATATTGAATTAGGAGAGGGATAGGGTGTATGATGCAGGGGACAGGTATAAACATTGTATTTCTAATATGTAAAAAAAAAAAAAACCTCAAGGTATTGGATAGTTGTCTATAGTGAGATTTATTTATTCCATTTCCATCCAAAATGTTAAAAATTATATAGATTGAGTTTGTTTCATTTTGTCACAGTTCCATAGGGAAAATAGTTTGACATCAGGACCTCCTTTTCTTATGTGTATGGTGTATAAGCAAAAGCATCTGGGAAACCTACTGGAATGTGTGTGCAAATGCGCGTGTGTGTGTGTGTGTGTGTGTCAGTGTGTGTGTGTCAAGCTTGTGAATTGAAAAAGCACTATTAAGATATCACCATCAGACTTGGAGAAAATGCAGACAGACAGCAATATCTCAGGGACTCAATCAACACATATATCGAATTGGAAATGAGATATTAGGTATATTAAAATTACATCTTGGTCTCTTTGAGTCACTTGACAGTTTTTCAGATATGGTTTCAAATCCGTCTCAGTATCTTATACTTGTGTTTTTGCATCATGTTGAAATTGCAAAATTTGATTTGTATCTGACTCAGATCAAGACTAAATCCAGCTTTTCATTCATAATTTCGATACTGGCATAGAATTACTGTACAGATTTGAACTGTAATTGTTGATTCTAAAGTTTGAATTGGGCATTTTAAATATCTAAATGTGTTAATGCACTAGCTGATTATCCACAAAAATGGTGAAGAAAAATAACTTTTTGAGTCCTATCACACTGGCTTGGATTCTCAATACAAATTCATATTGTAGGATTGGATTTTAGTCAGGTATAAATGGGATCAGTGTCTTAACTTGGTTTGTGCAACCCCATTTTAGCCTGCTTCAGAAACAGCTGTACTTTATTCTGAATTTATTCATGTTAGTATATGATATATATTACCAATAATTGAATGATAGATCTCTGACGAGCCTGACTTATTCACACAGTATATCATTCTGTTAAAAACAGTGCTTTAGACACATGCTTGGTGTACATTACTGTAGCTATCATTTGTTAGTTTGATGGACTTCTTTTTATAACTATTATTTCTGCCATTATTTTTTATACTTCTCATCATGTATTGTCCAAAGAGGCTGAGCCCTGTTAGTTTTTTTCTGTGTTTTTTTTCCTGCCTTACTTCACTATATCACATCTTCATCTATTCATATTCCCCCTTGAACACTCAATGTAAATTCAATTTATAGAATCTGGACTCTGTAAACACGTGCTTTTATACAAATGACCCTAATGCTGTGCAATTTGTGGAAGTTGTTGCTTTCAGTGTCTCATGAGAGACTGACTAAAGCCGAACACAAGTCGGTAATGTTGGAGGATGGTTGAAATGACCAGAGGGCTCTCACAGTTGCCTCATGACACTATTGAGGCCAAAGAAAAAAAAACAGTGTTTATACTTTTAACACTCAGATTAACAAACCGTGCAGCAACTATTAGTATGAGTGGGATACTGTGGGAAGTACTTTCTCTCAGTTGTAAGAGTGCAATGTCAACATTGTTCTTGGGAGAAGGGGAGTGTTGCATCACTGTAATATGAGGTACAAACATATGGACTCTGGCTATTTCTCAGCATATTCTGATAATTACCGGTACATGTGGTTTTTCATGCGCTCAGTCCAACAGCTGACTTAGGATTCTCATTAGTCCGGTTGACTTGCCTTTCAGGCTCAATACCAGCAAAATTCAACAACAACAAAAAAAGAGTAAAATTTTTGAATGCAGGTTATCTTAATGTGTATCAGTTGTTTGTAAATTTCTGAATTTAAAAAAATGTACTTATCCTACATAAACATGTCCGGTTTGTCCCTTGCAGTAAACCACCCAGGTAGCTCATAACAGCCAAAGTAAGCTTGGATTTTCTTGCATGCTATGTTTTTATGCCTATAATGTTATGTTACATTGTATACATGTTGTTGACTACTTAGCAGGGGTGGGGGACGTGAGTCACATGACTTCCTTCAAGTCAGACTTAGGTCACAAATTTGAGGACTTGACATTTGATGACTAACAATGATAAAAGACTCAACTTGACTTTGACTTGGTATTCATGACTTGAGACAATTGACTTTCTTTTAAGAGTAATAACTGGAATGGCACTCAGTAGAACACATAGAGGAAAGTGATTAAAAAAAAAAAAAAATCCTGTATCCGCCCCTTTTTAATTGGATTCTTGGTTCTTCCCTGGCCCATGCCCTATCCCTCCACCATGTTTGGTGCAAATCAGTTCAGTACTTTTTGCATAAAACAAATAAAAATTTTAGCAGTTGGTGGCTTGCAGTCACAGATCCAGACTCTACAGTAAATTGAGACATGAGTGTTAAGACTTGAGACCTACTCCCACCTCTGCTGCTTAGGTAGAGAGCCCTTCCAAAATGTGATTTGTGATGTGATGCATTAGCCCCATGTTAATTATATTAGGGCTTTGTATGAGTCTTATTTTCTTGTACTATTGCTGTTTACATTTGCACTGACACTGTACTGTGTAGACCAAATAGTCACATTTACGAGGGCTGTTCCACATTTCAAGACCAAACTGGACATAAACCCTCTGAATTTTTTCTCATTCCATCAGAGCCATGCTGTCTATGTTATCATCTCTGACTTGCTGGCAAATTTCAAAATGTGTAAAATTAAAGTTGTTTTTTTTTTTTTCATTATTTTGAAGAGGTGAAGCTGACTTGAGAGAGGGGCTTTAGCCTGGTGACTTGTAGTGTGTGGTAACCCCCCCCCCCCGTAGCCAGATACCTGTGTATGTTAAAATAATGACAGCATGTGTGATATGTGAAGGTGTTAAGTGATTAGAATTAATCATGTATGTTGTATGAAGGAAGGTTTTACCCAGTTTTCCAGTGGCATGGCACTAATGTAGTTGGAGTCAGGTGATCTTAATGGGGTCAGGCTCTCAGTCATTATTGTATCAGATTTCAAACACAAACGTGAGATACTGTACCTCAGTTGGTTCAGAATCTCAAAAGATTCAGGATTTTGAGGGGTATTTATCTGATCTTGTGTTTTAGATACTGAAATCTGTTCAAGAGGAAAAAAGAACCAGAAATGAGGCCGTTTCTCTTCAAATTGCTCACACGTGCTCTTACAGTTTTCTTATTTTTAGCACAACAAAAATGTCAGTTTCTGAGACAAAAACCAGCTTGAGAACTCTCCAAAGGCTCCAAGAGGAAGGTTTTAACCTTCCCTTTAAATATCATGGAAGAGACACTGTATACTTAAAGTTGCCACTAGCTGTAGACCTACTGATGAACCACTTGTTGTTATCACTCAGATGCTGAAGGATGCCAGTGTTGCATTGGCACATCTCAGCTCCGGATTTAATTCTTCATTCAAATTATATTTATTTTCTATGTCGTCTGAATGACTTGTAATTCCATTAATTTAATGTACTGTATCCTACTTATTCCTATTATTCCACGTAGCCTGCTTTTTATAATATACTGTGCCAATAATGTTTATTTTTAATTAATTTAAGGCAATTATTTGTAACTTGAATTTTGAGTAGATGCAGATAGATTTTTTTATTTTATTTCATCAATTAACATTTATAGACCTTTTTTATCTGAATATTTCTGTACTTCAGTGATGTGGCAACCGCCAAACTGTTCTGCCTGCTGATGTGTACTTTGTGTGTGAGTCTTTATGAAAACTTGTTGATGGGTAACTGATTCTTTTTTGTGTCAGAGTGAAAATGAGGTCCAGATTTGAATAAATTAAACACCACTGTCTGACTGAAAGTCTTCCGCTTTCTGATTCATTATTAATGTCATGCACATGTGATTTCCCTGCAAAGTGTGTGTGTCTGTGTTTTTATATAGTACTAATCAGAATTATTTCAATTTAAAAAAAAATAATTAAAAAAAGGAATTAAATGAGTCTCAATTGAGGCACTAATCTTGCCTGCATACATAAAAATTAGAAAATACCCTCAAAAGGTATATGCATAAGTCACGATATTAGCTGATCCTCTTAATATAAATATACATATATATGTATATAGTAGTATATAGTAACACAGGTGTTACTAATCACATTAATTAAGGCTCTGTACCTAAATAGAACAACATTTATTAAAGTCATTAGGCACACCTGTGTTTACCTACTATTTCATGTCAAAATAGCTGCTGTGAAAAAGGTCTATGACAAATATGTAGGTGGAATAATACATTTTAATATTCTCTATAGATATTATAAAATGCCTAATTTGTTGTGTTATCATAATGTATCAACACAAGTAGATACAATCAAATCATCTGCTGATGTTTAGTGACAAATGATCCAGACAGTAACTTCTCACAAAATGAAATGTCTGATCACCTTTGGTTTCCTCTGGCTTGTAGTATTCCCTATGAAAAATAATGAATTATTAAACGTGGACTCTTCAGCACCGTATGACAAAGTCACACATCACACTGACTTTTCTTATTGTAGTTAAGATCAGTAGGTAGGTGCTAAACCAACTGATGCTTTCAGATTAACATCCAATAAAGTGCATTTGGAATCACCTGAGAGTGCATTACTCTGATCCATCTGCCAACCTGTTCATTTTATTCCTCTGGCTGCAGATACTAAAGGTAAATTATGTCATTTTTAAGCAGCTTAGTGTTCAGTATTAAAGCTACACTTCAAATTGAAGACTATTTCACCTTATGTCCTGACAGTGATCAGTTCAGATAGGAATGTAATGTGCAGCCAAATTCATTCACTTAAGGCTGTTAATATGTACATTAGCATTTGCTAGCTAAACCACAGCAGGTCTGGATAGCTCATTTTAACAAAAACATGTCAAATATTTTAAGTACCTAACTGGCAGCGGGCAGCTTTATTTGCAATTTATTTATATATTTTTCAATATTTTTTTGAATTCTCATTTGTTTATTCAGAGAGTAGTTTATCAAAAAGGGAATTACGCCAGTATTTTGCATAGTCATTTTCAAATTTAAATATACTGGATATCGGCACATCAGCTATCAGCAGCTTCACTTTAAAAATATCAGAATCTGTATCTTAAAAACCATTATCAATTAAAATCTACCTAAAAACAAAGCATGTTCATACAGTCCTGTATCGTACATACTTACATACATTTGGTCTAACACTTAATAGGTTAAAGCTAGTGTACAAACTAATCAATGGTTACATTACTATCAATATACTCATGCTCCTCATTACTCTATTTTGATGATAAAAAAAAACAGCTTTCCACAAAGTGTTTGACAAAGAAGACAAATCTGACAAGACAAATCTGACTGCACCAAAACAAATGACATACTCTTAGTATGAGATTGTATTTGGCTCTCATTTCTGCGACATACTAAGGAAAAGTCCTGATCAAATAGCTGATTTCCCTGCTCTAAGAATAGTTCCAAATTTTCAACACCACTCCTGCTGCATCAAAATGTCCCCTAAACCTGTGTTCAGCACCACCGTTAACAGCAATGCAACGTGTGAATGAAATACCTCATTAGCTCCACCTAGCTGAAGCAGTGTATATTGTATAGATACAAATCCTTGGTTCATGAAGGCAACAGTCTTAGCATGATGGTTTTGGTGTTTATAGTCTCCCAGCAGAACTGATGTGTTGGGCATACAGATGGCGCTGTTGGACAAAAGGTGCATCGTCCATACATGTCATTTTCATCCCTTCCTTTTCTGGCTGATTTCCTCTGTCATTTTTCACTGTATGGCAGTCTAGTAAAGCAAAAATGTCTATAGAAATATGCAAAATTGTAAAAAAAAGAAAAGAGAAATGACATGATTTTCACATCCAGTGATAGTGCTCGCTGAGTCACTGGCTGTTCACCGGTCAGGGTAATGAGTCATACCAAGTTCCTCTGGGCTGTCAGAAACGTGCCAAAACTTTAATGTCCAGGCCACCTGCCCCACCTGAACCTGCCCCAGAACCTTGAGCCTGATTTGATCCCTGGCCCACCTGGATATGGTTGATGCCGTTGCTGAAACTGGCACACAGCAGATTGTTGGAGTCATTTGGAGCCAGATAAACCAGTGGACCAGCACCGTCCAGAGATAATGTCCCTAAACAAACTGAACAGAAGATGGCAGGAGGAGGGTTGGAGGAGAGTCAGTGTACAAAGACCAAACACCCAAACGGTGTCTGCATCTGTGCTCATATGTATGTTTGAATTTGTCTTTCTGTATGTAAATGTTATCATCCATTAGTGTGTGTTACCTGCTGTGTTCTGATCCCAGATTTTGATGGAGCTGTCATGGGAGGATGTTGCTACCTGAGCTGTGCCACCAGGAGGTGTAGGTATAAACACACAGCAGGCTGTGGTTTGGAGATGGCCTCTGTACTCCACAACTTTACAGCCAGGCTGGCGCAGGTCCCAGAGCTAATAACACAGAGACAACTCCACTGAGAACAAATGACGTCAGAAGTTTCAAAGATATCTGCATAAGACACTGTATACTTGATAATCTTCACTTTTATTGGACTGGAGAAGCTGATCTCATCAATAATAATAGTAATAAGAAGTAATAAAATATATAGAGAGATACACAGGGAACGATGACATCCATAAAATCAACATGAGGAGAAACATTGTATAGTAGGATTAGTATTAGGGGGGATTTCATTTTGGGTAATAGACTGGATTATACTACAGAACCACTGGTAGTGAGTCAAATAGTTGCATTTGAACCAGATTACCTTCTATATAATCTCTTGTCTCAAATACAGTCAGAAGATACAAATTAGACAGGAAACTGGTCTGGGGAGGGGGGGTGCAAGCTGCAAGCTAGGTAACTTGAACCCACAAGACAAACATTCAGAGACCATCTACACAAGGCTAATGTCCAATTACTGTTTTGTTTGAGAGAAAGTGAAAAACAACTGGTATTGATTGAGTAGCCACTGGCCTTCCTGACACAAAACCTATTGTTTATTCCAGTTAGAGGTTGGCTAGTACTGAGTAAATCAAGCCCAGACAACAGGTAACCTACTGACAGCCTCAACTACATCCACCATCTTTATAACTACACCTGTACAGCCAGGAACCACAAAAACACCCCCAAGCCCTCACCGTGGCTTCACAGCCCTGCCCTCCGAAGCCGTTGCTGCTGGACACCAAATAGTTTCCATTTGGAGAGACGTCACAGTGGGTCTGGATGTATTGCTTGGCTGGAAAAGTATTGGTCACCTGCCACGTACGGCTGTCCCACACCCTGCACATATACAGAGTAATTACTGCAGAAATACACACCTATAATTAAGTATATACTGTGTTCACATATGTATGTGCAGGTGTATACATCAAAGTCACAAAATGACATGCAACAGTTTTACCTGAAACATCATATTAAACACAATGGTGAGAGTTAAGTGCAGCAGGATGAAATACTTCTATCCAATCAGAGCCAGGTTGTGCTGTACTGTTAGACAGAGCTAATATTCAAATATCTGGGTGGGGGAATGCTGAAATTTTTATATCAGTAACACTGATGTTTAATCAGTTTATAAAAAGGTACAATTCTATAATCTTCTCATACACAAAGAGTTTCATCCACATGCAGTATTACTTTACATCCTATCATTTAGATCAGAGGATGGTGTAAAAATTGGCATGGGTTGCTAAACTATGCTATGTACTGTATGTATCTCTGTGAAGAAAAATACTTAATAATAGTAGAGGCTAGAGTGATGTCATCTCCATAACGCCCTGTCTTTTGGCAACACTTCATATCTTTCCCTTGGGTATTCTACTTTTAAACAAATGGTTTGCACAACAATTATGCTTGTACAATCACGGTGCTAAAAGTGCTTCTGTTATAAGGACAAAATATGTGTTTACATCAGAGGATAAACCAAGCACACCCAAGTTGATTTATTTTTACATACCAGGATAAATTATCTACATATCATCAGAGTAACAAATACAACAGGTTATCATTTTGTGTGACCAACTACAGTAGGTGTTTATTTTTCTGTGGATGTCATACTAAAAGAAGAAGCATGTAAGCTCCAAAGATACTGGCACAAAAGAGATGGGGTCAGGTCAGCAACAGGAACAGTGCGACACAGCAAAAACTAGGTGAAACAAGTTCTCAGTCCAAATGACTGATTAACTATCAGTGTTGGAACTAATTTAATCTGCCACTCTCCAAGACACAAGAAATGGGGAAGATAAAAAAGAGACTCCAATCGACATTAAAAGATTTGGACTGAAATTAACTTCTCAGTCTCAGTGTTGCTTTTATACAATACTTATAGTTGTGACCCAGCACGGTTACCAAAAGAGAGATATTACATGCCTGCTTCTAATTGTAGTGTAGCACTGGTATCACAGTCCACATCTGCAATGTCTACACATGTTTACCTATGGAGTTGAAAAAAAACAGCATAACCAGCTGCAAACAATGTGGATTTCTATTGAATATCAAATTTCTTGCCATACTGCAAATCTTACTAAACCAACTAGCAAATCTTTTTGTACCTGATGGTCTTATCCTCAGAGGTCTGAACTATAGAGGAGCTGCCTGGCACCCAACACACATGAGTCACCTGGACAGAGAAGAGTGGAAAAGTTTAAATCCTGCAGGGCATGAACTCATGAAGTAAAAGTGATGGCTTATTGACTTTATACTTTTTCTTACATGCTCAGGTACACACATAAGGTGATCCAGTGTGCTTGAAACAACTCTTGGTAAACGGATGGTGTGCACACAAGAGCACAGAGTATTGTTCTTACCAGGTTTCTAGAGATGTTGTGTCTCTGTTCACATTTTGCAGATTCTATATCCCACAGGCACATCCAGTTATCACGAGAACCGGTGCACAGCTTTCTCCCATCTACAAGCCACAATAGAAACAGTTCCATTTATTCAGTAAATATGTAATCGGAAATAGATGTCAGTGTGCATGAAATTACTATATCACATCAACATCTGACACAAATGCAATTCAATAAGAGTTAGTGTCTTAGTAACTAAACATAAACATATAGTCCAAACAAAGTCGATGAAAGTTGAAAGATTTATCATTCCCCGCATACACACACGGACGCAGCATCTTGACTGACCAAAACATGAAATCAGTGCTGAGATATTCCTTCAGCCTTCAACACTGTTGAGAAGTCTTTGTACCATCTCAAATTAGATCTCTACCCAGGAGGCCTATTAGTGAACATTCTTACAAACATTGTTTCAGTATGTTTGGAATTGTACTTAGAGTTTTGCGTTTGCATTTCTGTTTTTTACATTTAGTGCTGCAGTGACAAGCAGCCAATACTAACAGAAATATTTAACAAAATCTGCAGATGATTCTGTCTTCTGCAGGAGATGTGCTGTTGATGGGTGTGTTTTTGATGTTTCTGATTTTTGTGTTTAATATTCATGAACTGTTCTCTGAGTGTTATCTGTTCCCAAACCAGCTATAATACAAGGGATTCATATTGTGTATAACTATGAGCTGTTTTTATAGTAAGCTGTGTTTTTGGATAAATACAATGTTATCTCCACAGATATATAACAATAAAACATTTGGTATCTTAACCTTGAGTTTTCTCTGACATACTATAAATTGCAGAATAGCAATTTTATATCAAGCTTAAAAATTTAAAGATAGCAGTTAAAATATTTACTTATGAGTGAAGAGACTCATTGTGTGTGTGTGTGTGTGTGTGTGTGTGTGTGTGTGTGTGTGTGTGTGTGTGGCTTGTGTGTGTGTGTGTGTGTGTGTGTGTGTACCAGGGCTGATAGCTAGTCCATTGACCACCAACTCGTGCCCACAAAATTCCTGAATAGGTTCATCCCCTTGGTTTAGGTCCCACATCAGAACAGTCTTGTCCCGTGAGGCACTAAAGATCCATGTACTGCCTGGATAACACACCACCTGGCAGATGGACGGAGGCAGAATTAAGAGGAGACAAGGCCTAAGGATATGTATATGTGAGAGGTGTAACAGCTCTAAAGAAACATCAGACCTTTATCAGTTTGTGCACACACTATTGACGTTACCTTGGTAACCTCTCGGTTGTGACCCTGGAAGGACTGACACATCCGGCCTTGTTTCCAGTCATACACCACCACAGCCTACAGGGGTGACACACATGCATGCATAGACTTAAAGACATGCACACAAAATAATTACTACATGTAAAAAAAAAAATTTCACAAACTGTGCTTCCTGAATTCAATCACTTAAGGGTGCTCTTGTCTGTCATGACCCATCATACTTTTTTATACTGTCTAAATTAAATGCAACTTGTCAGTGTCTTTTCCTTGCATTAGGCATTTTACTGAGCTCTAATTATTTTAAAACCATTGCAAAGTTGAATATGTCACTTGAAATTTTGCAGAAGTCAGACTGAAATGATTGGCTAATTAATAATCAATACTGTGATTAATGTTATTCAATTTTGGAATGATGCACTACTAATACATGTTAATTTACCTGATCACTCCCACCAGAAACACACAGATCTGGGCTGAGATTTGTGACAGAGCTGATGGATCCTTGATGGGCAGGTTCATACTGCACCACCTGACTGTCAAAGGTATTATCTGCCTTCTCCCCTTGAGATGCTCTGCACAGAAAACACCAATAGTAAGAAATAATACACAGCTGAAACATTTACAGACACATTTTCTTATTAATTTCATACTGGATCTCTAAAGAAATGTTTTATCAAACCTTTATATAAACAATGTTCTAACAAAGTTTCTACTCTTTTCTTCAAAACATTATTTTCTGCAACAGGCTGCACTGGTAGACATTTCCTACTTAAGATTAATTATTATGCATTGATATGGATATTAATAAAAAAACTATCCTCACCAAATTACTTTTTTGCCCTCCAAAAAGGGATAAACGTCAGTGTGACCTTTAGTAATTGATTTTTATTTTTTCTCGTGTGAATGGATTCTATACAGAAATCCTGAAAATGTTGTACAAACAAGGACACAGACAGTGTTTCAGTAGCACACACATCTCACCTGTAGAGCTCGGACCTCTTGCGAAACTTGCTCTGTAACTTCCCCATGTCTGACTAGAAACCTGCAGTCACACTAATACATGGGCACACAAAAAGAAATGGTATCAAACTAGGACAAAAATCATTGATGCGTGGGCTCCAAAGCAGCTAAATGTCTATCACTCTTTTGTAAGTGGGGATGATGGGGGACAATGGCTAAAGCATTGTTGCAACCCAACAAATTCTGTTAAATTCAAAAGCTCTGTAAGTTAAATTCTATCACATGGTAGCAATAAACACATTAAGTGAAAATTTGTTGAAAGAAAACAGCAGTACACTGAAAGTGAAAAGAATATAATTGCCCCTAAATACACTTGGGTTACTGTATTAAATCATAAATACATTAAATTGAAATATCAATCCTTTGACTGGAGAGTGAGATGCCTTGCTTGCAGTCTAGTATGTTGGTACAGATTCATTCAATGCAGAGTGTACTATCATTCAATACTACACTGTTCGGATAATTATGTTCTGATTATTATTTTCTTTCATTACAATTAAATTCTGCATATTACTATTTTAGGCTCCCCTACAAATATCACACAACCAACCTAAGTAGTTTCTTACAACAAAATATCTTGCATAAGACAGACCAGCACAAAGTGAGATTAAACCACACGTTCCCACGCAAACACTACTCTCTCTCTCTCTCTCTCTCTCTCTCTCTCACACACACACACACACACACACACACACACACACAGCTAAGCTCCTCCCTCGTTAGCCTGGCGTACTCCTCAAACAAGAGACAGGAAGGAGAGGGCTTAAATCCTATTAGAGCCACATCATTACTGTCACAAGGAATTAGTCACTCGAAAACACCTGCTATGAACTGTACTGACAGTAATTATGTAACAACAACCAGGGCTTTTAACCGGAGTTACAAATGGTGGAAAAAACGGTTGATGACTCCTGGTATACACAAGCTCCTGTAGAGAAGTGGAATAACATTTTCTTACCTGTCACTGGCAGGCGTGGTCGCTGTGTGATGCTGAGGCTGGGCGGCTAGCTCGCTAGCATGCTAACTAATCTTTGTCTGTCATGCCAAGATAGATCAATGCACTAGTAGCAACAAAACGTGGATGGACAAGCGTTTAAACTTGGTTGAGTCGTTGCCCAAACGACTGATAAGCGTACCCAACAGACTGCCATGACAGAAAGTTGTCCTAAATGCATGGGAAAGTGCACAAAAGTGTCTTTTAACTACAACAGAGCCATCCCTCTCTCCGTAGCGACCGCGGAGCGACGCTTTCTCGTATCCAGGCGAGGACGACGTCACGTGACAAGGGAAAGGAAGTAGTCGGAAAGCGCTTTCTCTTACAAAATAAAAGTCTGATTTACTATTTAAGATTCATTCCTCTATCTCCTGTGGTGTATGTTTCCTACATATACAGTTCACTTGTAAACAGGACATGTGCACTGTTTTTCTTGGCATGTATAAATAAGCCACATATTACAAATATGCACATTTTTATACATATGATTACAATCATATGGTATTTTTTTCTTTCTTTTTTCCACACACACATCTGCACCCATGGCTGAATTAAGCTGCTAGAGGGGACAGGCCTCTATTAACCCCCTCCCACTCTCTGAGCATTGTTTCCAGTATTAGTGATTAAACACAAATAAACCAACACAGATTGCAAGCTCAATATCAGCTGAAATAATTAAGGCCTTCAAGATCAGATAATTTAAAAATGAATATTCTTTAACAAAAATCACAACTAATAAACAAACCATACAAGAACCATAAATCAATACCTTTGAGTGTCTGGGGCCCCTGGGGGTCGTCTGTGTTCTTTACTTTGATAGATAATAGAATAAAGATTTAATATAGTATAACTACAGCACATTTGACTGGGGACAACACATTTGTCAACCAACAACATATTACATTATTTCAGCCTATTGCATGAAACATTTGTTCAAAGAGGGAATCTCTACTTTTAAAAAAGGTTATGCTGAACAACACATGACAGGTTAAAATGTTACTGACCTGTGGCTGCATGTCCCTTTAGAGAGCTGGTTGGTTGACCTTCATTACAGGCACAGGTTGAATGGCTCCCCAAACTGCAAATCTAGGACAATTGAGACAGGTCCCTGGACAGCTATCATTAATTCTACTGGAACAATTTTACAGTTTTTCTTTCCATGACACGTTTTCATGTACTTAGTTGTAGCTCCAATTTTTTTCCCCTGCTTGGTAGGTACAGTCAGAAAAGATAAGGCCAGCTTCGACTTCATGAGCTGGATTTAAACAAGTGCATTACATGCAATTAAGCACTGAGTCATGGGGGTGTCCCCATTTAAATGGTCTAAATGGGCCACTTAGTTAGGTTACAATCAACACTGCTCAATACCTATGTGAGATGACCTCAATTCTAACTTTTTTTTGTTGTTGCAGCAAATAGTTTAAGAATTTACAATTAAAATCTCAAATCAGTTTGTCAGGCATCTTATGGCAAAATTAAGTTGATTATGAACATATACAAAACATGACATTTCTGTGCTAAGTAGTTTTCATATTTGAGTTTGTATTGCCATTCCAGTTACATTCCACTACATGTAGTATATTCTTTGCACCAATATTTTCCAGTACAATTTTTATCTTTACAGTACACTCAATCCTCATTACAATGTAATCACACTCAGACTTGATGGTGGAAGATCCAGTTGCCTCATCCGCGCTGTCATCAGAACTTATGTAGAGATTTACTATATGCACCAAGAGTGTTGAAGTTAGGCAGATCTTTTATGACGAAGTTAAAAAGTCATGAACTTTGCTCTTCAAATTCCCATCTGCTCATTACGTTTCCATTTGAAGGCTTTCGATCATTTTAGTGGCGTGTAGCTATTTCCAAGAATGAGAAGCAAAGTAGTGCAGAGAGAGTCAGTATTACAGCTGGGGCACAGCATGTGACCCACCGAGAAACAAAGCTGGAAAGTTTTCAGGCAGGCCTTAAACACAAAAAAAGCCTTTAAACCAAAACTGGCCTATAAAGCAGGTCAGCCCTCACTCTACAGCCATAGCTTTGGACTTTAATCTATTGTGTTGCTTGGGACCCAATTTCATTAACGCTCTCATAGGTAGGCCTGCACCTGCCACGTCCGTTGTAGGTTCAGCACCTGCTTAAATGCCCAAACCCAAATCAAAGCAGCTCACGCAATACTGTCTTGACTCATAATTACTGCGTCAGATTTATGTCAAATGTAGCCAGCGCGATTAATCATGCTCACGATCAAATTACATCATGTTACACCCGCAGTTATTGACTGCAAGTCGTACCTCGACCGAGAAAAAAACACTTTGGAAGAAACAAAGAATGGCACTTGCAGCTAAGAGCTAAGCTGCCACCACATACACGCGATAGAGTTTCCGCTTTCAGGGGCTCATGGGTAAACACGCTCCCACAGTTGACTGCTGAGAATCAGACTGATTTAGAGACAGTAAAGGATCTTTGACTGACTTTTGACGATTTGGGGGCGGAAACCGAGGTAGGCACTGGCCCTCTTATGATTGGTCACTTTCAACGCGATCACACACACACAGACCTCCTTGCACTTTGATTGACTGCTATCGTTAGAGGAAGCCTTGGAGAAGACCTGGAGTTAGGGTACCACTGAAGAAGACAGAGAAAAGTCCATGGTGTGAGTGAATCAGAAAATTCCTAATATCCATATATGTCTGAATAAACTGTTGTGCCAGTCAAAACTCTATATCAATTGCCATCAAAGAATATATTTGCGAAAGATGTTAGCCTAGTTTTGTTATATATTTTTCAGCAACAAGTAGCTAGCTGTCGAAAATTGTTCACACCAATGTCATAATACCGCTGTCCATTCCTTAATGAGTAATGATTGTTTGGTTGTGGGAAGGGCAGTAGTAGACGACATTGCTAAATTCACTGATAAAACTAATGGCACAGGCATTCCCAACAGTGGGGATGATCATACTGGAACAACTGTGGACACGTGATATGGCCTCAAACATCCATCTATCCACTTATCATTTCATCAGTCTGTGAGTGAGTGGGCATGTTGTTAGATTAATGTGACTAACAACTGCTGAATAACTCCAGTTTGTTAAAGCTCACAGATGTACATGTTATTGTGTTCAGTACCTGAATCATTAGACTGCGTTAGCATGACCTCCACTATGGTCATCATTCAATCATTAACATACTCAAAACTTGTATTCACAGCAACAACTGCCACAACTCTCTAAGAAATAAAAACAGCTGCAGGGGATTCAATACAATTAAAATTTATGAGTGGTGGTAGCCAGTTTATTACGTATAACTAACAGTTATGAAGTTTTAATACAATGGATCTAAAAGAAATCAACCCTTATTGACAAAATATTTGAAAACATACATATCACAATTCAACAGCAACACAAACTACAGCCTCCAAAGTGACCTTTAAAGTTGACTCAACACGTCTTAGAAAAAGCTCCAACAAAAATTTAACATCATAAAATCATAAAATACATGGGGCTGGCGTATTAGGCTGCAAAAGTTTTAGCTTGGCACTTGAGTATATGTTTTGGAGATCCACATTAATAACACCAAAACTGGCCATGGAGTTGAATCACCTCTCAAGTCTCAACAAAAATAGCACACTGACCTTCACAAAAGAGAAACTTACTGCAGTGCTATTTGATTGCATACTGGCGCAAAATCCATCATAGTCACTGACATATAACGTGTACTGTGATGATCACTCTTCACAAGAACTTTCCCCCACAAAAGTCAGCACAAAAACAGACTTTAAGTGGAGCTGCCCTCCATTATTACACCCATGCCCATAGAGATATGAGTTCAGCTTGTCCATTCATACACATTTTCTATTCCACAGGTTGGGGTATAAATACTTGTGTGGCGTTTGTCTGACGTGACACTCCCCCCTAGTCGATGGGAGGCCGACGTCACCCTGCCAGCGGAGGAGTGGATGGCCTCTGTAATAAAAATACATGAAGAGAATTGAGGAAAAGGAGAAGATTGGCCGGGGGAAAAAAAGCAACAACACGGCGTTCATAGCTTTCGTTCGCACCCCACTCCTGAGCCATGGACGTGAACGCCTTTTAAGACAGGCTGGGATACATTTTCGCCGCGGTATCGAGAGCTCCGGCTGAAAGGCTATGTTATGTGTTGCTTTCTTGGTTTTTTGAGCAGACTGAGAGAGATAACTGTACTGTATCCCAGCCTAGCGGATTGGAGTGAAAGTCCGCCATATTCTGCCTTACCACGCCCGGGAGTCGAGCCACTGGAAAATAAACGGACAGCTTTATTCATGTGTCTTCCCCGCAGCCCTCATCCACGACGATAACTTGAACGCAAGGGATTTTGCTGATTGAAAAATAACAACATTGAAGACTTTGAAGACAGGGTGGCCGGGCACGGATGGCAATGCTTAACGAGATCACACGGAGCAGTACGGAGGATGTGTCTTAAAAGGATCTGTTGATCATATTGAGAAGGAAAAGCAGATTACACCAATTAAGATTGCACAGATATTCAACTCAAACCGCTTTGGACACTATTTTGAAGCTGTCGAAAGGCCCAGAGAGCGAACCGAAACGGGGGGAGGGGGGGTCAATAATTTCTCAAACATCTAATTTTCCTTTCCACCACAATCTGTGCGCTGTTCAGGCTCATTATAAGGGCGTCCACGCGTTATTTCACCACAAGTAGGCCTGTATGAGGACGTTATTTGGCACTCAGGCCTCTGTGTTTTGTTTTGTTTTTTACCCCGACGAATCTGATATCTGGATGAATCAGTAAGAGGAAAAAGCGGAAAAGTGCGTGTTAAAAAAAAAAAAGAAAAAGAAAAGAAAAGGAGAGAATGACCCTGGAATCCATAATGGCGTGTTGCCTCAGCGAGGAGGCGAAAGAAGCCAGGCGGATCAACGACGAGATCGAAAGGCAGCTCCGCCGGGATAAGAGGGACGCACGCCGGGAACTGAAACTGTTGCTTCTCGGTAAGCTCGGCAGGGAGAAACACGGGGAGGGAGAGGAGTGGGGTGAGCAATGCAAAGCCCAAATTCCTCTCAGCAAAAATGCCTTTGTCGGGGAGAGGGAGGGGGAGGTGTGGGGTGGAGGTGGTGGTGAGGCAGATGAAGGGTCTATTAATGGGGCTTCCCACCTGAGTGAAGTTTGGGGAGTGGGTGTTTGAAATATATCCGTGTTGTGAGTCGAGTGCACAGATTGGCAGCAAAGGAAGGAGATGAAGCCCAGCCAGGCCTGTGTGGCTCCCAGTGTAAAAACCACCTGATTTGAATAACTGCGACCGGTTAGTGTCGAGGAAACAAATGCTCACCAGTCGCTATACGGGCCTTAACTCTTAACCCCTTACCTCTCCATGCGTCCACTGGCCTGACAGCAACCTGTGCAGCCAGGCCTAGAGGGCCCATCCAGGTGGTGTGCTTGTGATTGTGTCAGGTATTGGCTGGGCCAAAGTCTAGCCTTTTATTGGATGTAATCAAGACAGCATTGCAGTTTAACACTTAACCCTGGCAATGATTATATCACAGGTGTCAGGCTATATAGAGCAAGGTTGGGGGTATGCTGTCCTTTAATATACAGAAACCTATGTGTGGTGGTATGCTAATACATCTGTCATTATATGCAGTTTTCATTCATTTTAATCATTGTCAAACTAATTGAAACAACACAGCAGTAATGCAGTAAGAAGAGACAGAATACTTTTGAATAGATTATTGTAATTTATCAGTCACTAATGTCTGGAGGCCTAATCATACAATTACAGTCCCATGATATTTAACTACAGTCATAATGTTGGTACCTGTGCATTTCTAGTGTGGGATTGTGAAATTGGAGCAGGGTGTATGGGGGATAAATCTTGTTGAGAAGTATTAGTCATACTGGAGAAATATGAGGAAAACAACTCATCTACTCACCATCCCGTTTTTAATTAGATTTGCAGCGAAAAGCCCATTAGATGTGATGACCGTGGTGGCGGAGAGTGGTGCCAGTAACCTCTCCTCCTGATCCAGTGCTCTCCTCACTCACTTTGTTGGGAAATGCATGAAGGAGAAGGTGTAAAGCAGACTGGAAACTTAGATCCTTAGATCCTAGTTTTGCCTCTCGAGAGATGTTTAAGAGGGGTTGAATGTGAAGGGTTTCCCCTTTGCCCTCCTGTTAGCACATGTTGAAATGAATCACCCCTAACAGGATTTGAAGGAGCTGACTGCCACCTCCTTTGTTAAATATGGACAAATATTTGTGTTGTTGTTGCCCCTTAATCTCTTCTAATGCCCAGCAATTCGCTCATTATATAAACACATAAACAGCCAATGACCCAAACTAAAAAGTGATGATGTGGAAGATGACGACATAACTGTATTTCTCATTAAACAGTATATATTACTTATCCAATGATTAGTCACTATTATTGCGTGATACAGAGAAGTTGATGACCTAAATCAAATAATTCATGATTGAGTCACACTCAACATTTATTTAATTATTTTTTTTTATGTGTAGGCTTTATCAGTATGGGCTATTATATTTCAGAGTGGTTTCATAGCATGCATCTAATGACAGAATGCGTTCACTTAATGTCTTTGACTAGGGAGTTGTAGGCAAGCTCCATTAAGTTGGAGAGTGAAAAGTTTCCTGTGATGATTAACCACATGTGATTTTTCTGAAATGCAAAAAAGAAAAAAGAAATTGAATTTTCTGCAATGAAAAAGTTAAATTTTACACTAAGAAGGCAGTGCAATTTGCAGGGCGTAGATACCACTGTTCAGCATTCATGACTATAGAAGTATAGATAGTTGTCTGCTGTGTGATGTCGGCCTGAGGTGTTTTAGGAATGATTTGATGGGTGGCGTAGGGAGGTGGACTAGAGTATAAATAGGAAATGTGATAGGAATATGGTCAAGGCTAAACCAGGACAGTAGACCTTACTGACCCATGTAAGCAGAAGAGATGCTCATATACACAGCAACGTGCGCATGTCTGAGCTCCTAAAACAATTATAGCTAAATCAATAAGCATATTTTGTCAGTGAGATGAATAAATCATCTTATACGCAGGGCTCTGAATTCACAGTGAAAATGATGTGTTTTTTTCTTTGCGTGTATATTACACATCGACGGCACCACTGCCGCTACAAGTGGTCGAGTTAACCAGAGGAAGTTGTGTGTGTGCTCTGTGTGGCTCCATTAACCCATATGCTATCAGTGTATTGTGGGTTTTGAAAACTCTAATTGCTTTGTGTACCATGGGACTTGAGTACAAAACTCTCTAGTCAAGTTTAGAAGTTTTTCAGTCATTCAAAAAGTCAATTGCTCGGTTTTTCACAATTTATCTTGGCTTTTAGACTTTGCTTATAATCTTTCAAACACACTAATTGCTTTGTGTCCACAGGGACTGTGTATGTTGAAAGACACGCAATATAATAAGTAAGCAAGTTTAGAGAACATTGCAAGCGTGTAATCCATACTCCTTGTTCATCTAATATCGATTAAGGAGCTGTAAACTAATAAAGGAGATGTACTGAAATTAACACTCATTTACTGTAACTTGGAAAGATGACCAAGAATACTTTACTAGCAACAATGAGGATGAGTACTTGAAGAGGGGGTGGGGGGGTGTTTCATAGTGTTGTACTTATAGATGCTGTCTGGCACACATATAGTTAAATGTTAGCCAATAAGTCAGAGATGCTAAAGGCCTCACCGAGATAGGTGACTCAGGAAAAGTCCGGTTAAAATTGATGTTTGACACAGCAGAAGAACAATGAGGCATAGGGCAGTTCAGCAGGAGCGAACTGAAATTGATCTTATTCAGCAATACATGAACATAAACACATTAATTCGTAATCAGATCTCTGTCATTATCCATTAGAACAGCTCTTACCTCATTTTCAGTAAGAAAACAAAGCTGCATCATCATCAGCTTTAGATATTTTGCAACTTATTTGACAAGAAATATAATAACAATACCAGTTTTTGAAATAACACACCTCAGTGGTTCCCAAACTGCCAAACGCGACCAGGGGGGGAAAATGTGGAGTGAAACTTATGTTGCTCAGATTTTTTTTTTCTTCTCTGCAGTCATCTTGACTTGTCAAACACAGGTGTAGCTAATAACTCTGTTAATTGCTGCAGTGCTTTCCAAAAAAAACAGAACAGTCATTAACTTCATTTGTTCCACCTGTGCTTTTTCTTTCTATGATAAGTCTATATGTCTGTGGTGAAAAATGTCTAGAAGTTGGATTGATTTGGAAACGATAAAACAAGATCAAATCAGACTCTGGTGTTAGCAGCGCTGCAAGAATTAGGTTAAAAAGAGCACTTCTCAATTTGAAAGGTGCAGGAGATTCAGATTAATCAATTGTGAATGAAAACCCAACAGGATAGTAGAATGTAGTAGTATGATAGTAGCTTACAAACTCCAAAACCCAACAATGGTCATTCAGCAAAAAAAAACATCTCCTCTTTAAGCATGACATTAGGTCTTGAGAAATGGTGGAGAGGGGTGAGCAGAAACTTAGCATAGGAATGGTGACATAGCGACGGGGGACTGGAAAGAAATAGTGAGTCTGTGTTCTTGGAAAAAAGGGAACCGGAAACTGATTTGTTTTGTGTTAGATAATTAGGATACTTAGTGAAATAGATCCTTTAACACATTTTTTCTTCAAAAACTGGACAAAGCTTGTGGTTTTGTTTTATTAGCTACAAATTGTGTATATTTTGTTGCTGACCCTTCTCCAAATGTAGAGTGATTTTTCTGTCTTCTATGCTGCCGTATTTTCAGTTTGTATCTCATAAAAAAATCAAGGAATTTTTGTAGAGGGCTAATAATCACTCATAGTAAATATTTTGTCATGTCTGTTGTGTTCAGTTAATTTTCATGCTGTTACAACAGAAGTAAGTGGAACTTGTTTTGGTGAGCTCATAGTGCAACCGGATAAAACTGCATACAATTAGTTTTTTTTATTGAAGCATGGTAATGAATTGTGAGCACAGATGTTTTGAAAAGCTGGTGGTGTTAAAGGATGCTCTGACTCGAGCTAATCAAATTCTAATTATCTCTTTCACCACACTCTTTTTCGCTTAATGTGTGGATGGTGAGTACAAAACTTGTAGCTACAACCGTTTTGCCTCATTGGAATGTGTTTACTGTACATACACAAAGCACTAAAGTGAAAGTACTGAGAGGACACATGCACTGGACAGGGGTCTTGTATTTAAGTGGCTTGTTATATTACATTAACCCAACAGTTTATTTAAGTTAACTTCACCTGTTTTGCCAGAGCAATGGAGATAGACACAAAGAGCAATATTAACTACCACTATTGTCATGATAATGAAAATTCATGAAAATGAATCGGCAACTACTTCAAGTATTATTTTCACTCATGTTTCAAGTGTTTTGATGATGTGACTTTATTTGTAGTAAAACTGAGAGCGAGATATAAAACTGCAAATTTGTTTTTGCATTTCTACATGTATTGCATACATCTGACTTGTGTTTATTTAGCATTGAGGCCTCACACATCTGTTGACAGTCAGGGGTTAAACATGAATAATTATCAGGCTCGTCCCCATCTGCTAAATTAATTTAAAAGTTAAAGTTGTTCAATTACAAAAGTGGCACAGGCCAGATCCAATCCTCAAGAGATGATTGGACCTAGTTTATGATGTCTGTCCCCCTTTACACACATACATATACACATACACAGAGAAAATCATAGACAAGTGGGATGAAAGTAAATCAGATTCCACTATACTACCACTATAGTCACTGAAAATGGCTTCTGAACTGTGTTCAGATTTTGCACAGCAGAAATCATTTCAGCAGTGCAACATTTTTAATGTCAAACTTTGCATGTAATTGGTCGGTCACTGTCAGCTGCTTTTATCGGACAAATGAAAACTGTGGGAACTTTGTCAAGGTTATGACTGGACAAAGTCCACTGCAACTTATAACAAGCTTTGAACAAACACGTGGTTGTAATTGCTAGAGGAACACTGAATATGTGATATGATTCATGTATGAATGCAGCAAAGTGCATTAGCAGTGCATCAATAGAAAGTGCAAAATTAGGGAGAAAATCTTCATAAAACATCCTTTTCACCCCTTATGATGTCACATCTAGTTGTCTTAAACTTAAGTATCTCACACGTACATGTAGATATTCACACTGTGAATGCTGGTGGTGAACATCAGAATGATGTCTCAAAAGGTACATGGTTACGCAGCAATATTTTTATTGAATTCATGATTCTGCCTTCTGATTTGCTGGTGCTGTCTTAAGGTTGCTTGCCATTAACAGTGAATAGGTTTGACAGCCGCAGGACACACTTTATGAAAGTGAAAAACAAAACCAGCTCCGCAGATCATTCAGCAGTTTCAACATTACGTTCAATTTCATTCCATATATCATTCAATGGAGACATTAACGTGTTAATTCTCAGTCTCACTGTACTTCCATACAGATTTATACCCGAGCTTGTATATTTTACTTACATAGAGTCAACATTCAGTTCAGTTAAGTGCTTAGGACAGTATTTACACTTTGGATTCAACCTGATAGTGAGAGAGAAGAGCTTCCTTTATTTGATCACATAATTAAAACTGAAAGTCTTGAGGTTTGCTTGAGGTTCCTATCAATACGTACAAAAGTGACTCCATAACAATCCTTTAGTTCTTCCTTTAAAATCAGAACCAAGCAATGTCTGACCCTTGTTAAATGTTGGTAAAAAGCAGGGCCATAAACTCCTCCCTGTAAAGTGAGTGTGGTACTATGGCTCTCCCTCTGCTCTGTGTGTTAACTCACTCTTGTGGTGCTTCAAGCATCATATTGGCATTTTTTGCATCCTTTATTCCATTTGGTTTAAAAAGTCAGCTGCAGGCATCTCTGTGCATAGCTGACACTAATGCTGTGGTGCATTCAGGGACTGTGGAAATGCACAGCTTCCAAGACTTGTCTGGTGGCCAGTTAACAACAGCCTTTTTAATGGAGAAAGCTACCAAATTCACACGATCCTTTTGATTACCGTGATATGTACTTATTGTTTGTTTCACTAGTTTGCATTTGTGAAAACATAGGGTGTGAATATTTGGCAGCTCACAGTCAAGTTTCAAATGCCCAGAGTATCACATGACTAACTGAAAACACCACACACAGACATGGAGCAGCCTGTTGTCTTTGCTTGAGTCTGACTATGAGTCCTGAGGCTTGGCTTCCAGAGAGGAAGCTGGATCAGACGTAGTCACATCATATGTAATGTCGAGCCAGTCGCACCAACCTCAAATACGGGTTAATCCAGGGTCACTGCAGTGGGTTTGAAATATGACTCAGCAGCCTCTAATGACCAGCACACACTCATACCTAGCGCACTCACGGTCTCGCTGTCTTTTCCAGAGTAAATCCATCAGGACCCAGATGTGGTCAAGTGATCCTGATTTATTTTTGAGAAATTGCTTCAATATTTTTTTTCCAATTATACATACAGCTGTCGGTTACAACCATCTCATGTTTCTATAACCTAGGCAACTGGTATAGAATACTGTACTCCTCTAGGATAGTAGCTTACAAATTAAGGATTTCCTGTGAGGAACATTTTCTTGAATGGGTGGATCCCCAGAGATAACATTTACTCCACACATCCAACCTTCAAAAGTAGACTCAGCTATCTCCAAGTTCATTGCATTCCAATTCTGGAACATAAAACTGAACTGCAGTATCTCAGCCCTAATTTATCAAGTCAGGCCTTTTAACTAAAAGTTTCTATCTACAGCTAAATTTCACATTTTCACATTCCCTTCTTTTGACTTCCTACACACAGGACTTCAGGCTCCCTCCTGTTTTCTGTGTTTGAACAGTCGTGAAGGGATTGGGACTATGCCACACATGAGCAACCCAGATCCTTTTATGCCTGTACAAATACAATACCCACTGGCAGTCTGGCACAGTTCATTTAAGTTTTTGCGATTACTCACTGTTCCACTTTGCCTGTTTAAAAAATAGAGTGTGTCTATTTTTAGGATGGATGCTGCAAGTTATTAACTCATGTGCAATGCTATTTGTGGTCTGCAAAAACTACTACCTGTCACTGAGGTTAATGTAATAGTTAATTATTGGCGGACAGAGTGGTGTGTATGTGTTTGTGTAAACCCACTGGTGCAACAAGGTGAATATTTCAAATTCTACTAAAGGATAACACCAAAGGTGTTTGTGTAGCATCTGTCTGTAGCACTAACAAATAGGCGAAAAGCAAACTCAAGAAGGAAATAACTCCCAGCCACGGGTTTGTTAGAGTTTGTGTACAGGTTGAATGAAAATAAAATCTTTTATGAAAGACTACATATATTCTGATGCTTCTGTGTATAGTGTTAATGTTAGCAATGCTAGCATTTCCTCACTGCTTCTTGCTCTTTAACAAAATAAGTAAGACTTTAAGGGTCAATTGTTTGACTAAAGAGCACTTCAAGGGTAATTGTGCTAACTCTAGTTTTGTCATTATTACCATACATGCTTATTTCAGGCTTCTAAATGGGCAACCCTACAATAGAAAAGCTGTTTCCTCAGAGGTTATAGTATTTCAGCATCAGTTTAGTCTGTGGCTTGGTTTTGTAAAGTGCCCAGTCTGTGTTATGGACCCACAGAGAGGCCAATTTGGCTAAAATAGAGTTTATTTTATGCCGTGCAAAAGAGTGTTGCACATCCAGGCTCTTATAACAGACACTTATACTGGAATGCAGCACATGTCTCCTGGGCACTGACATGCAAAATGCACAGCTACACTCCTTCCTGCCAAACTTATTCAGGAGTTAGCAGTGAGGTAAAGTTAGACTGTTCAGTCGGTCTGCCAAGATTCCCAGTGAACCAAAGAGAAACTACACCCCCAGCTCTTCACACCCAAATAGTTCCTGTCACCACTGAGAGGAGAGAGATGTTGTTCTTGGTCTGTCACCAGACCAAGCAAACAGACTGAGAGGAAAGTAGCCAGCACATATTATTATGTGTGTGACTGACTGAGTGCATGAGTGAGTGTCTGCAGCTATGCACTGTACATCTGTGCATATAAATGTGTGTGCATGTTTTTTTCAAAGGCGGGATGTTGCGTCGCAAAAAGCTACGATTCAGCTTTCTTCGCTCAGGAAACCTCCTCATACACATTTACATTTTTTAATGCTTTTAGAAAATCTGCGTTTTCACACTTTGCTTCATTTTGCCTGAACTTAACTTTAAAGCTTCAATAATCAGTATGTGTCATGTGACAATGGGTGTGTACAGTGACAAACCCACAAATAGGTATCACTCAACACTGCAGATTCCTTCAGCTCTATGGAGACTTTTAGCTCATTTAACAACATAACCCCCCCACTCTTAAGCCCTCAGACATAGGTGACATTTGCCTTAATGTTCCTTCCCCCTTCGTTCAGCTACTACAGCACATTTTACAGACAGATCTACGCACTTGAGAGGTAGTTCAGCCTATGAAGAGTGCTGTTGTGACTTTATTGTAAAAATGACCTGGGTACTTATTCAAACATGAGACCGACATGTTAAACTGTCGTCAGATTAACGTAAAGAGGGTGTATCTTTGAAACGGGCTTTATGATCCTCTCCAGATGCAGCGGGAAGTTGTTGTCAGAGAAAAATCTTTGGTAAGCCCACTGTACGCTACCTGCTCAGCACCAAACGGCAGAAAAGATTAGCGACTAGCTGGTGAATATTGTGCAGTGTTTATCTGCTGAAGGGGCTCATTTTTCTTCCACGGATGGAATATATGAAGATGGAGCTCAGCGAACAGTGACTGTTGGATTTCCATTCATCGGGTGGCCAGAGACATGACTTAAAATGAATGCTAATGTTGCTCCATGTCTGCTGGTTGTGTAAATCAGCAAATGTTTGATAATATGATAATGCCTTTCATATCTATATAACTATCAGAATACGATGGTGGCCGCTGGCATGTCCACCCTGATGCACAACTGATCCCTCACAGCTCTGACTGGTTATACAGAAGGGAGAGGAGGCATCACTGACTAATACTTAGGACCATATTCTGTTTTTGGGCCAGTGACTGACCAAATAACCAAAAGCTTATCAGTAAGAATACCAGCTTTATGGCTGTCGTCTAGCTGCTCAACTCTGATTAACTACTTACTTTTTTTATTATACTTTTTATTGTGATACCTTTGTTATGTTGCTGCAGTTCTTTTTTTCCCATAGCGGTCAAGGAAAGTCATGAATGACAAAATGTCCATTTAAGGAGCGTGGCTGCTGACACAGGACATTAAATGTGTTGTCTGGTTAAATGAAACCCTGCACAAATCCACAAAATGAATAAACTCTGTTCATTTGTCCCCTTGTCTACTTTCTCAGGCACTGGGGAGAGCGGGAAGAGCACATTCATCAAACAGATGAGGATTATCCACGGTACCGGTTACTCTGATGAGGACAAAAGGGGTTTCACCAAATTGGTCTACCAGAACATCTTCACAGCCATGCAGGCCATGATCCGAGCCATGGAGACGCTCAAGATCCCCTACAAATATGAGCACAACAAGGTAAATGGCATCCTTTCACTCAAGCCATTTCAACTTCCCCAACTGAAATGACAACTGTCGTGTAGGGTGACAAATAATTTGAGAAAAAGAGAGAGACGCTGCAAAGTGACCACAGTGTGCTTGTATATTTTTAGAGTGCTGTCTATCTTATTTGAAACAGCCATCCATAATCGTTTCCTGTCCTTTTTGGCACTTCCTGTGTCCTTAAAGTGCTCCAGCACTCCATCACACTATGTGTGTATTTGTGTTTGCCTGTGTGTTTCCATGCACTCAAATCCATGTGTGTATATACACACAAATACACATATGCAAATATGCAAGAGAGACCTGCCCTATACTACCCACCCACATTTGACCTCACTTTCAGTAACTATCACTTAAGCGGGGCTTTTTTTCCCTTCCTTTTTCATTTGCATGAGTTACCCTTGTAGTCATAGCTTTGGGAGATGTTACAGTGACCTCTTACTCACATTTTGTCCCATGTGAGAGTGACAAATGAAAGGAAGTGGTGCATAGGAGTGTATCACCTCAGCAACGCTTTCTATAAATCAGACCATTTCAGGTGACAGTGGACCACGCTGCTTCAGCTCCTCCCTGCCTGGCCACAGTCCAGTCAGACGAGTTTTCACTGAAAGGTTTAGTAGAGTTTTGGGGAGAAAGGGGTGATAAGTTATTTAGTGTGATATCTTGAATTCAGAATCGCAATCTTGTGATGTTACAATTAAGACCCAGTAAGTATTTTTTGATCAAATTCACAATGTAAAACAACATATTTATGCTGGAGATATACAGTCTGTAATAACCAGTCAAAACGTGAAGCCAAATTTCAAACACCTGTCTGCCAGGTGTGCGTTAGATAACACTTTGTGTGAACTGGGAGATTTAAAATGGCACCATAACTGGGATTTAACTCGGTTAGGTGCTTCTTGAATCTTTGCTGTTGTAGTGGATCATTTTCCGTGCTTGCTTTCGCTTCCTGTCCAATGAGTGCATGCTCATGAAGAATGAAACCGAATATGCTGTTTCAGCCCGGCAATTTCACCATGGTTTTAGCCACTTAAAACACAAAGAGAACCGAATACATCCTGTTAACATGCTGAGTAAAAATAATGTTACTGCAATTTTTTTTGCAACTTTTTTATTAAAAGAATAAATAAATAAATAAATAAATAAATAAATAAAAAAAGCAGTTTGTAATCTAAGGTTTTTAGTTATCCCTACATGTCACTGCACTTCCACTATCTGGAAATTGGCTGGTTAGTGTGTTCGCCATTAACGGTTACATTCAGTGCTCAGTAGAAAAGGACTGGAATACTAGTTTTGTCCTATGCAAGCACTTAAATACAGAGAAACAACAAAATGATCTGTTATGTGTGTGAGATATGTGTATGTCATAAGTTATGTGTACAGTGAAAGCATACAACAGAACTGATGAATACTCTGTACCCAACATCCCTGTGCTCTCATATACATAAGACTAAAATGGGAAGTATTTACCTTTTTAACAAAGGAGTCTAAGTGAAGTGAAAATGAAACCTGTCTGTCATGTTTATACTGTCTTTCTGGGCATTTATAGTAAATACCACTATCACAAAACTCGTCACTGACGGTTTATCTGCTTTATACTGGATATCTGTTTTTTGTTTTTTGTTTTTTCTTCTATGACATCTCACTTTTTCAGTTCTGTCATTCTCAACCCCACAGTTGTGAATAAGATATAAGTTTACATTTCTTTTGATACAAAATCTCCTGTCTCCAGACACCAACCATCACATCCTGTCCTTTGTCTTCATGTCTAAATCATGTTCAGACCATATAATTATGCATTCCAGTGCAGGTCAAGCATTCACTACATGGTCTGGACTGAAAATAGGAACAATATTTTGTCATTTGTGGTGTTGGGCTGTAAGGTCTGTAGAGACCTGGGACCACATTGGTTAAGTGGAATGGGCTTGTTTTGCTATGCTTACATGTTTACTCCAGTCAGCCAGCTCCACAGTCATAGAGTCACAGTATAGTTCTAGCAGTTGTAAGTGTTTGTGTAATTACTGAAAGATGGGTAAGGGTTGGATAGTGATTCTATAGATAATGGCTGTTGTGTGTAATAAACCTTCATGCTGTTATCATAATGGCTTCCTATTGTGCAATAGCCAGTCACAATTCCACATTGCATATCTTGTAGTTGTCTGCTACTGTGCATAATTGTGTGTATTTGTGAAAGTGTGTGTGACAATCTAATTTAACATAAATGAAAAATACATTGAGATGTTCCACATCCCCACAAATCTGGCAAAAGTGAGCCAATTACTGAACAAAAACCATTTGGCTAGACTTTAACGTGGCTAATTGTGAGGACCATAGAGACGAAATTATGTCTGATGTATGAAGCATTAAGCATTAAGCATTAATCCAAATCATAAAAAATGTCAGTGTGGTATGTGAAACTGTGTCAAAATTCAGGCATACAGAACATTCTCTTGTGGTGGGACACAGGAGAGTTTTAATGGGAATCTGGGGCGGCAAAACTTTCCCCTTTAATAGGCCCAGTGGGATTTGAGCTTCAGATATTAGGTCCATGCTGAGCCTCAGGGTGCAAAGAAGTTTTTGGATGAATGTGTGTTTTGAGTGAGAGAAACTAAACCAGTGATAACTAGGACTGAACCACCTGTTTGTAGATTGTGTTTCAAATGTACTGTTTTTTTTGTTGTAGATTATTAAAAATGCTTGATGAGGTTTTGATAAATCAAGTTTTCCTTTGTGTTTGGTGGAGCTGAGCAAAGCTGTGAATCTCAGTAAATCACGGCACTTCTTCTCCTCATGTTTTTCCACCAGGGCAATGCCAACGTTGTGAGAGAGGTAGACGTAGAAAAAGTCGCCATGTTTGAGAATCCTTACGTAGATGCAATCAAGAGCTTATGGAATGACCCGGGCATCCAGGAGTGTTATGATCGAAGGAGGGAATACCAGCTCTCAGACTCCACTAAATAGTGAGTAGAATGGAAAACAACACAGGGGATACAGCTGCCAACATCACTCTGTATGAATTGAACCCAGCTGGAGACGGGGGGTGGGGGCGCTAAAGCACAAAATACAGTTTTATCAGTTTTTGCAGTGTCTCGGATGACAAACAAACATCATTTCATTTCTCTGCCTCTGTAGTTACCTGAACGCGTTGGACCGGATCGCCGAACCATCCTATCTTCCCACCCAGCAGGACGTGTTGAGGGTTCGAGTCCCAACCACAGGCATCATTGAATATCCATTTGACCTGCAGAGCGTCATATTCAGGTGAGATCAGATATTTATTCAGGATCCGAAAAATAAAAAAGCAACACTTTCCTGCCTTGGAAGTCAGAAAAAGCACAGGACATATTCAGTGACATGTCAAAAGAAAATACTTTGATTTAGCCCTGATAGCCATTTATGTAATAATTATAATAATAACAATAACAATAATAATAATAATAACTATGTGTATGTCATAGGTGGAAAGTAGCAAAGTCCATTTACTCTGCCTCAAATTTGAGACATCATCACATTACCTGACGATCCCATTTTGGGAGAAACCCTGTATATTTTACTCCAGTGTTTTTGAAAGGAACATATTGTATTTCTAACTCACCTACATTTATCTGATGGTTGTACGTACAAATTACATTGTGGATTAATATTTCAATGCAAAAAGCACAGTAAACCAATAGAGGATGAATAAGATATGATGCTTTGTTAAGGTTTAAACTTTCCAAGAGCAAAATTTTGAAAGCAACATATTTAATGCAATAATATTACAGTGTGGCATTTCTGCTTTTACTCACAAAATTGATTTTGAATACACTTCTGATTTGGTTAACTGAATATCAAAATAACGTTTAAGGTGGTGTCCAGATGATCATCTTTGATTCACGCAAGAGATACAAACTAGATCTACAAACATTTCTAGTGCTTTCTATAGTGACTGTTTTCTCTCTCCTGGATGCTCCTGCCATGACAGGATGGTGGATGTCGGTGGTCAGAGGTCGGAGAGGAGGAAGTGGATCCACTGCTTTGAGAACGTCACATCCATCATGTTCCTGGTAGCTCTCAGCGAGTACGACCAAGTCTTGGTGGAATCAGACAATGAGGTGATTGATTAATGCATTTCCACAAAAATCTGCTCAACTTCTTTTGTAAAGTATGTCGAAGATGAGTCGGCTCTGAAGATAAAAAAACTACTACTTATTTAAAACAATGGAAATCAGATTCCCCTCTTGCCTGCCAGCGCTCCACCTCGTGTTCCCTTGTAAAGCATTTGTAAATGATCAGGCAGCTGTTTTTGAATACCGCCTCGAGCCACATCTCCTTCTTAAGAGGATATAGCGTGTGTCAGTTTGTTAAAAGTGTATTAATGAGCAGGTGAGCGCTCATACGTCTGTCGGTCTGGTTTTGTGTCCATGTGTTTTCCTTTCCTCTGTTGGGAAAAAAAAGACTGACCAGCTGCACGTCCTCTGTATTCTGCCATATGATATTTTCTCAAACAGAATACGGGAGATATTGTGTTTCACACTGCAGCACAGTGATATCTAAAGCTTGCTTTCAGAATCGTTGTTTTGTTCAATTAAACACTGAAATCAAGTGCAAGGGAGAAATTAAACCCTCAAAGGCAACATGGCCGCCCTTCTCTCTCATCTTTACCGCTCTCCCTCTGGTGCAGTAAAACGTTTATTAAAATCTGTACTTAATGAGTATGAAAGACTGTGGTTTAATTAAGTGATTAACTCTCTCTCTCTCTCTGCTCACACTCTCTCTGTAAGTCTCTCTCCTCACTTTACCTCCCCTCCCTCTCCTCACACACACATTCACACACACACACACACACACACACACACACTCTCTTTCTATAGAACCGGATGGAGGAGAGTAAAGCTCTGTTTAGGACAATAATCACGTACCCCTGGTTCCAAAACTCCTCAGTCATTCTGTTCCTCAACAAGAAGGACCTGTTGGAGGAGAAGATCATGTACTCTCATCTGGTTGACTACTTCCCAGAGTATGATGGTGAGTATCAGCAGCATGGTGTCCAACCCAAACGCCAAACAAATATTTAAACCAAGCACTAAGATATTATTTACACACTTGGACAAATCTCCCTGGGAAGTTGCAAAGAGAATACCAATATTCACTACATGCCCACCTGTGATAACAACATGCATTTTTTGTTTTGAGTCTTTGTGCAAAGACCATCATAAATTTGATTTTCCATACTCAAAAATCCCCCAAAATATAGATTAAGTCAGCTGTAAAAATTAGATTGGATTGATACTTAAGTGTGTAAGTCCTTTATTTTAGCCGACAGTGAATTTCTACTTAAATGTAAAAATGCCTACACAATTTTGAATGGATTTGATGTAATGTCTAACATGCTTTCCATTTTCCGTTTGACAGTTGAAAACCAATAGGAAAGCATCAGAGTGTGAATCTTTCAATAAGACAAAACACACACACACAAATATTTGAAAATAGTATATCAAAGTAAAAGTTACATGTTTCTAATGATTGTATTAAAGTCATTTGTAAAGTAATTTAATTTTGTTGACTGAATGCTGAATTTGCAAGCAGTGTAGTGTTGCAAATCAGGACAGGCACTAAAAAAATTGTGTTTTGTAAATGTTTGTATCTGCACCAAGCATCACAGTCTAAGTGTAATGTAATTATGTCATGTAGAAAGCGTATACATCTCTAACATGTCTGAGCATTGGGCAAAATAGTTAGTTATTTTATTTTAGTGAAAAGGCAGGCATCAGTCATCATCTTTTATTTGAGCTAGGTTGAATGATAGATAAGCATCATGATTGTTTAAATACAGGTGATCGTGCCGCTCAAGATAAAGCTAATGAAAAAAACGGCTTGTGATATTCTACAGCGGGTGTATTGACAGTGGATCATTTTTTCCCCTCTCCAGGTCCGCAGAGGGATGCCCAAGCAGGGCGAGAGTTTATCCTCAAGATGTTTGTGGACCTGAATCCAGACAGTGATAAGATCATCTACTCTCACTTCACCTGTGCCACTGACACAGAGAACATCCGTTTTGTCTTCGCGGCCGTCAAAGACACCATCCTGCAGCTCAACCTAAAGGAGTACAACTTGGTGTAGAGCGGAGCAGGGCTGCCAACTGGAGGCCCTCAACACACACTGACTGACGCAATCTGTGAAAAGATAGATCATATACACACACATGAAAAAAAAAATCTGAGAGAAAAAAAAAAATCTAATGGTTACATAATACTAATTTATTTGCCATTTGTTGATCTCTTGGTGCCCAAGGGGTGAGCAAAGTAAATATTCTCTTGCTATTTAAGGAGTTGATAAAATATAGGGAGGTGGGGGAGGGGTTTGCTGTTGAATATGTACAGCAACAATCCTCATTTTTAGGCTTTGCGCATTGTGAAGTTTTTTTTTTGTTTGTTTATTTTGTTTGGGTTTTTTTTTTTGAAAGAAAGAAAGAAACTACTTTGTGCACTGGAGGTATGGAGGCTTGTTTTGTCTGCCAGTCTGATACCTCAGAGCTGGAATAAATGCAATGTGCTCCTTCCCTCCTGCCTTTTTATAAACAAAAAGAAAAACGTTTTCATTCTTTTTTTCTTTTTTTTTCCAACTCTCCCTCCTTACCCATCGATTCATTCTGAAGCTTCGCTATGGGCGTTGAGGAAATGATGTAACAGATCTCTAATTAACAGCTTCCTGTTTTCCTTCAAAGGACTGATTGGCAAGTCTCTTAATGAGTTGGCATAAACTGTGATTTTAAATTATTTCATATTGATTTGATATTGATTGACTTCATCGTTATTATTATTATTATTATTACTATTACTATTATTATTATTAATATTACACTGCATTGACTTTGGTACCATCTGATGATGTAGGGCATGTGTGACCACGGAGGCACGTGGCCCCATTTTGGAGAAATAGCCCGAGTCATGTGTTGAGCGACGGTCACGTGACACCTCTCTGCCATCGACGTAACCACGAGGTTCAGCAGCTTGAGAGAAATTGGCTTTAAAAAAAAAATGCTTTCTAAGCTTCTAGCGACAAGTTGAGGAGGCACACACGGACCTCCGCTCTGTCATGTCATGATGAATCATGAAGGCGACAGTCGCTTTACACAGACTGAAGGGAGCTGAGTTGGTAGTAATTTATGAGACAATGTTGTTAAACGATTATGTTCCAATGTGCCACATTAATGCTTTTATAGTAATATGTATATTTATTGCCAATGCCAAAACAACTCGAGCACCAGACTCCACTTTGCGCTGCTTACTGCTTTAATGGAATGAAAAGTGTTGAGAGCAGGGCGAATGATTGCAGAAGGAGCAGACTGACTGACTTACTGATCAACCAACTGATTCTTGCAGTTTCTGAAGTATTCCACAAAGTTAAAGGGTGTTCTTCCCCCCGCCTTCTCACTCACTCTGTCTCTCTCTCTCTCACTCTCTCACACACACACACACACACACACACACACACACACACACACACACACACACACACACACACACGAGAGAGAGAGCTCGGACTGACTAAAGCTACAGGTAGATATGCCTGCTGGTTTAAAGAGGAGGCAGCCACTCAGCGCGCTTAACTGCTCAAACTGTCAAATCACAACCTCGCACATGGATACAAACCCCTCCCCCTGGGACCTGCAGACTTTCCAGTCACATTTTAGCTGTGTCCTTATATTTGTCAAATCACAGCCCGGCTGTCTTGACTGTTGTAGTTCAGTAGCAGTGGAGAATAAATTTGGCTAATCTCTATGTAAAAGGGCAGAGTGTTGATATTCAGTTTGTACCAAAGTAAGCCCTTCTTGTTTCTGATTGGCACCTCTCATTTGCAATTCCTCATTCCCAAGTTACTTTGAGTATTTTTTTTGTAACAGTTCCCTAGAACATAAGCCTGTAATTTACATTTATTGAGGCATAGTGCAATTATGAATGCTATAATCATTGTACATACATTTCTCTATATATATGGCAGCATCTTTGTTGGCTTTGTAATCATTACTTTTTTGGCAGATTGAATGTGCGGTATTGAAAATATGTATCTATGTAATTGTATTGTATGTCTAATGGATAATTCATTTTTGGAAGAAAAAATATGTTATTTACATGTTTGTTTTTGTTTCCTTTTTTTTTTTTTTAAGAAGAGAATGTAAATTTTGTGTTTTGCCAGTTTTATTTCTCAGCAAAGAAACATTGTTCAGCTTCAGAACTGCATAACGAGGAATATTATTATCCAACTACAAGATTGATTGGTATGCCAGTACTTACAGTAGCCGTTTTGTTAAATTGACTTTTATATGAAAAACTGCAGACTGAATCCAATCTACAGGGCTAATTGTAATAGTTTAGTTCTTAACTGGCTTCAGGAACAGAGCACTTGTCACATAGGTGTAATCACATAACTCATTGATTCTTCTACTTTTATCTTTAATTTCATCACACAGCTGCTCAACACGTATTGTTTAACTTCCCCACCCCACCACCAACCACCCTTTGAAGGCAGGATGTTTTATTTAACAGGTGGCAGGCGGGTGCACGTGCTGCTTTGGCTCAGAAAAAAAATCTTGTTAAGGAAGAGATGTAATCATCTGATCGTTTGTGCTAATAGATGGGAAATGCCATCACCCCCTCAAATGAACCTCCACCCTGATAGAAAGTATTATAGAGTCTGTCAGAGTCAGTGACCAGTGTACACAAACATGCAAAAAATGACTCATCCATTTGGCCTAATTAGGATGGCATATACAGGTGCTTTTTTTAAAATTCTTTTTTACTTCATTTCCATCTTGATTGCCACCAGTTCATTAGAATGTACAGTATTATTTTAGACGTTATTTATGAAATGACAACATAGGAGAAAATACACAAACAGTTCACATGTACATATTGCCTTACTGAATAAGCTGTGCCTCTGAAGTCCCATGCAAGGCACCTGTGTTCTTAGCAGAAGTGAAGCTAGTGCAGCCAATAATGTCCCGTTGTGCAGCTGGAGGATTGTTTGGTTTTGGCTCGGTGGTCTCTCTTTATTATTCTGTGTTAGAAGAAGCCCTGGGAACAGCTTTGAAGTGTAGCTCATGTAGCTAATACGACATCATTACAGTACATTATAAGCACATCACGACTGAACTGTAATCAGAATCACACTTCCTGTTGATTTCATAACATTGTCACATCAGATTCATGTCTTAAAATCCATGCCACACCACTGTGCATTATAATGCATTGATCTGCCTGACTATGATTAAGCAACAGTGCTCCTACACGACAGAGTGGAGAATGTGCTCGCAAAGTTTCACAATCTGACTACCACCAGCCACCTGTGGAGTGGTTGTTTTGTTTTGTGTTTTTGCCGTATTTGGCTACGGTTTGGCATCTACCAGCCACTTTGGCAGACAACCAGGCCTCGCTCTGAGGTCCTGTTGTTTTCAGATATTTCAGCTGGCTGGTCTACTTGCTTACAAGGATGGTTGATTTTGGCAGGCAACAACCACTTGAATAAGTTCATTTCCAGTCTAGCTCACAGTGCACTTGGAGTAAATGAAGATGCTACAATAACCACTTATCAACAGCAGGGCCTAATAGGAAAAAACTGGGGGCCAACTCGTCACATTTTTATTGGACGTCAAAACAGTGATTCTGCTTGTTGCCAGGGGAGATGTTTTGAAGCTGGACTATAGTTTCAATTTATCAGTGTTGATGACCACTTGTTGTAGACTTGCAGTGATTAGTAACTTGTGTCCCTGCTGTTGTAAAGTGGCTATTTACACTGTCCCTGTTACTTAAAGGGAAAATCCTTGTTTAAATACTGCATCCAACCCACTGAGCAGAGACTGTCCATCCATGTTTGTGAGCCTCACAAAGTAATTGAAGTAAATGAAAATAAAAAGGATCTAAGCTCACTCAAACCATATTGTTCTGGCAAAAAAGCAAATTATATTTGGATTTTATCTGATAAATATGAGCCACAAACTATTCCCAGGCTTTGCGAGTAATTTGCTGGTGTTCACATCATTAATCTGAGAGAGCACATGTGAGTTACACTCGAGCTGGATTTCCCTTTAAGAGAGCACAGACTCCAGCTGGTGTTGACTTGCTGACACATTGTTGGAAAGCTCTGCTGCTGTTCAAATTTCATGCAGTATGTTCAAGAGCAGTGCAGTGTTGCATACAGTATATTGAGGAACTGCAGAAAACTACTCCATAAACTGCTCTTCTACTCAAGTCTCAGACACATCATCTGAGTGCTTTCAGCTCGCCTACTGTCAGGTTTCTTTGCCTCCAGATCCTGATGATATGACGTTTAATGACGCATTTTGAAATAGTGTTATTATGATGATCTCCAATCATAATTGTGTAAAATGTTTCATGTATCCATAAAATCGCACTCCTTCAACATGTTTCTGAATGAAGCAACATGTTTCTTTTCAAAAGTATGTCGACTCTGACTTTTACTTTCTGTCATTTTAGCACAGCTATGGTTTTTATGATGTGGTTCATTTATTTGTGGTTCATTATATATCTTACTATTAACTGCGCACCATGGTTCAGATCTCTGACTGGTATTTAAGGATAATGCTCTGCCAGACAACCTAAATCGAGTTGTATTTGAATTCTTAATTTGTACAACAAACCTCAGTAAAGCACTGAAAGTGAACAAAGATGTGATTCTTGTAAAGTAGAATCATAAAGTTCAATAGAATGTGCCCCAAGCGTATTGCCCTGTGGGGTGAAGTTGCCGCTTAGAGGTTAATTTTAGCTCTTTTTTCCCTTTTTTATCATGTTTACATTTAAATCTTTATACATGCACTAAAAAACTCCCTCTAAAAGAAAAGAGGGACACAACAGATTATGAAAAAAAAAAGATATCACAACGTTGCTGGCAGGGAGCTGGCTTTGTTTACTGTCTGGTTTAAAACTCCCTCACACCACTATAATTAAAGTTTATTCGGACATAAGACAACTTTTTATTGTAGAGTATAAATCAAGGCAAAAATTCATCATCTTTTATATACATGATGTGCTGATGTGCACAGGCTAAATGATCTCTACAAGATCACAGGCAAGTTGAAGTATTTTACCTTAACACAGACAAAGATTTTGTCCCATTGCACTGACATGAAAACAGCTGCCAACAGATCCTCCCTGATGAAAAATGAACGTATTGAGAACTTTTTTTTAATTGAGCTACAAGTGTGGGTAAACAGTAGATTTCACAAAAAGGCCCAAAGAGGCCTGTGGTTACTTTGTCACAGCTATAGATACCCAATACTTAACAATCTTAGCTCATTTACATCTTTAATGTATGAATGGCAAGAACTAGTTAAGGTCAGCGCGCACACTACAGTCAGCAGCTGACACTCATCCACTTGCTCACAGCTGGCCTTCCTGACCCTCAGTGGCCGTTAGGAGACATGACAGTGTCGGAGGAGGCTTCGCTCGTTGTACTACATGTGCGATGTATAATAACTTGGCAGGGAAGCTGTTTGCAGCTGGGAACCAAGTTACCAGTGCAGACAGACTTATGGCGCCAATACTTTTCTGAGTATTGTTGTGCAGCTTTGTGTGATCGAAACCTACCAGTAGCGCCACAACAACCCCATTCATAGTTTTTTTTTTTTTCTAATTAATCTTGTCAAATGCATCTCTGTGCGGTAAAGTCAACTCTCTCTGCTTGCTCTGGCTGTTAACTTCCCATTTTATCCTTTACTATTTGCAACTGGTGCCACGCCCACATCAACCGGCTGGACAAAGTTCAAGTGTCGTCCAACTTCAGACGAGCCAGCACTTTATCAGAGGGTCAACGCTTTTTTAATTTTTTTTTTATTCCTGATAATCTCTCTGGACTTTCGTGTTAAAAGTTAAAAGGATCCTTCGTTTTCAGACGCGGATTATTCATTTAAAATCCTTTTGCCTCTGTAAACCAATAAATTTGGTTTTCTCGTTCGCATTGAAGAGGAAGAGGAAAATCAAGCCTGTCAAGGATGATTTTCGCCCTTTTCCTCCTGAATTTGTGAAGCGTGAGAGGGGGGAAGTGAGTAGAGAAGAAGAGCCACACACACACACGCCCGCGCGCATCTTCCCAGGCTTCAGCATTTGCCTTTTGACAGCAGAGGGTCTCACTGGAGCGAGAGAGAGAGAGAAAAGGAGCCTGTTAGTTTTGAACGATGGCTGGATGCTGCGTGTCGGCGGAGGACAGAGAGAACCAGAGGATCAACGAGGAGATTGAGAAGCAGCTGCGGAGAGACAAGAAGGACTCGCGCAGGGAGCTGAAACTGCTGCTGTTAGGTGAGCATCACTCACCGGGTACCAGGGCTACAGGGTAACTGAGTTTAGACCAAGTTCTTCTCACACATTCTTAGTGGCCCTAGTGGTCCAAAGTTAAGTAATGAAGTGCCTTTCAGGCCAAAGTGCCATTAAAAAAAAAATCTTAAAAAGCTCCTACAAATGGAATAATTCACACCTGTAGTTTTGCTATTTGTTGCATATCCCTAGCGGCATTGACTGGAGGTCATTGATTCTCCAAGGATGGATTTTTAATTTGTCGTTACTGCTTCCTGACCACACCTGGGCATGCAGGCATCATGGCAAGTAGTACAGCACTGGGTAGCATCTCGACTAATCTGTATTTTAATGATTATAACACATACATGAAGTAAGGGAAAGGAAAAGCTGGATACGTGTGGGGGTGCATCAAGGACTCAAGTCATAAATAACGCGAGGAGGGAAAAGTTTCATATCTAACTGTACATTTCCTTTCTCTTCAATCCCTCGTCTCCGGATGTGGCGCACGCCCCCCCCCCCGAACATTCCGGGTGTGCGCAGCCTCTCATGGATGTGCCATTGGTTTTACGCACTGTGAACAGGTTTCATCCTTGATCAGTTCGTCTTATTAATTTGTATTTGCCACAGAACTACTGAAAACAGCCACATCCAGAGAAAGAGATTTACTCGGTGTATGGTGGCGTTGTATGTCGACATCGGTCTGAAACCGAAACTCGCCATTGACAACACATTTCCATTTCCAGTGAAATTCTCTCCGCGGGCTGTTGTGCGTTGGAGGGTTTTTGTGTTTGCTCCATGCTTGGACTGGACTGGAGATGTATGGGCGTTTTCACGTCCTCTGTTGGGATGAACCCCAGTCTCATGGGGAGAGGGAGTAAAGAAGCAAATAGGCTAATAAGGAGAAAATATCAAGTCAGTGTGTAAATAAGTAGTACAGCTGATAGACAGTGTCAGTAAGCCAAGGTGGCCATTGTATTTTTCACTGGCATAGTCCTGCTTCATCGTCATTTGTAATGTGAAGCTTCTGATAATAGAGACGTTAGTTTACTTGTCTTCTCTGACCTCCTCTAGGACACTTAAGCAGGTGACGCTGGCTGGGAAAGGGGCTTAAGGCTTGAGCCCAGGGGTTTTTTTTTTCCTTTCAACGCCAGCTTCCTACGTTGTAAGTTAACTTGTGTAGCTTTGGGAACGACCGGCAGATCAAGTGAAAGAGGAAACAGTGTTGCCACATGGAATTCAAAGAGCATCCATCAGTGCTTTGGCCAACACCCATTTTACTGCAGCAGTGTGAGAGCACTTCAGAGACATGAGTCACTGTCAAGGCCTCAGCTCGGTCAGTGGTATGTTTGAATGCCATAACTAGCTGCTGCGGGCGCGCCTCATGCAAAAATCATGCAAATCTCACCCCTGAGCAGCACATGAGCCTTAGCTTTGCTTCCACCACTCTCGTAGAAGGGGCTTTCTTGCAATATAGAGCGTCAGGTTGCTAATAAACCAACGTGCATTATAAATCCTATTTCATTTCATTTGAAAATACTTTTCTTGGCTCACTGTGCGGTGGATGGCCAAGACATTATGGATGGATAAGATCTGAAAAAGATGGTAGACATATTGATCATGACATGTATTGTGGTACAGTGTATGCGGGTAACTGCTGCCCGGGATTACAAAGTTACTGTGAGAGCTGTTTGATGAGCTTAGGCACTGAGCAGTAACAGGTGTATAAGGTCACCAGGAAACAGACGACTCAGTTATGAAAACTCACTATTAAGATAAAAGGTGTCACTGAAATGAACAATTATCAAAAGGCAAATTCTGACAATTAGAACAGATTATTGTCACAACTTGAAATTATTCTTTCCAAGCCACACTGCTGTGGATCTTGTGTCTTAACCTATAGAAATGTTAGATGTGATATAAGCAAATATATATTGAGTATTTTCTTTGAGCATTTATTTAGCTAATCGGAGTGACTCAGAGTTCTCAGTGGATTTCATTAGGATGGTCACAGTCAGATCCCCAGAGAGGACGAGTGGGAGTGAAGCAGATCAACAGCCTTAAACCTGACCTACAGTACAGACATGTAAGCACTGCTCTGTACTTACAAGTACTGGTCATTTAGATCATTCAGATCAGTAATGACTGCAAGTCATAATCAGAAAAACATGAATAAAAGAATGAAGTGAGCGAAAGCATATAAAATATGAACAAAGGCTTGAATTAAGCATTTTAACGAACAATCAACCACACTGGCATGTATTTCTGCAAAAATGCCTTTATCGGCATTAAATATTAATACACTTGAACTAATGTAAGCACAAAACATAAAGAGAACAGACCTCAATAATGGTCTAGTTCATGAAGAGGGAAACAGTTAGTTAATTATCAGTTTTAGTAACAGAGGAAGACAGACCACTGGGAATCAAGAATAAACTGCATAGAGATTTGTGAAAGGTTGCTCTTTGCAAAAACTCTGCTGTTATTATTATGCAGCTGTTTTCATGGTTTCAAGTTTTTATTGTGCCTGAGAAATAATTAGCATAAAAAAACCCACATTTTATCAGTTTATGATTCTTAAACCACCTGATGCTCCTGCTGGAACTTATATGACATATTTGCAAATCAAAGGATAATATTGTCTGCATATGTCCAGTAGATCGAGCTGAACAACTACACCGAGAAAATCTATGTATATAATTGGTATGTATTTTTAAAAAAAAAAAAAAGGATAAAGAAAAAAGAGTGAGAGGGGGCGAAGTGAGACAGGTGGTAGTAGTTCTTATCACAGCAACAACAACAACCCCACATTCATTTATTAAACTCTGCTCCACCAGATTGTAATGTCTGCTAAAAACATGTCTCCAAGTCCAATCCAGTGAAAACATTCAGACATTTACTTCATTTAGACATGATGAAGAATTGCTCGGCTTTATTATGTTTTATTTTGAAATTATTATTGCTGCATGTGTCCACTGAGGGAGAAAAATACTTATATTTAATCCTTTGTGATGCATGTAGGGTGGTTAGCTACCACAGCTATTTTATTATTAGTCAGTTAATTAAAAGATTAACAAAATATGAGTCATTTTTACTGATTTTCAGTATGTGTCTTGTTACAGGTTAAAGGTCAAGGGTCAAAGTTACATTTATTGTCTCCTGTAAAAAAATGTCTTGGATTTAAGGAACTGCTACATTAAAGACAGACCTGTCACAATGAAAATAAAGGTAATAATGTCACATGAATCTGTGATAAAAGAGTGAGGCCGACTCTCTCTCTGAGCGAGTAAAACACAGCAGATGCGCAGGATCATGATTTGCCTCCATCGCAGTGATTACCTGCCTGTCTTGCCCCAAACCCCCCTAATCTCCAAGAAACTTGACTTGTAAACAAGATGCATTCAAATCCAGACAATTTGTCTAAGCCTTGTTTGCTAAGATGTAAAGACTCACGTATTCATGATGCCATGCAAAACAGCCAGGAAACCAGAAAACACACACACACACACACACACAAACACACTCATACGGAGGGCCCACTCCTACACTCTAAACACAAACATGGCAACTTTAAATATTCAGGTCTGTTAACAAACATACATTTGTTAAACAAATTGATAAAGCATCACGTGGTCTGAATGAGAAAATTAGGAACTTGTGCTGTCAGAATTGAAGAGGCATGTGACAGTAACTGTACGTGTGTGTGTGCGTGTGTGTGTGTGTGTGTGTGTGGTTAGTGGTTCAACTAAAACAGCTATGGAAGGAGTTATCGTGTTGAAATGTAAACTGTATTGAAGTGCAAAGGCATTTTAAGTATAGTTTGTGTGTATTTGGCTGACACCACTGACAATCTGCACTCTCAGCACCTTAACTCACTCACACAGCTTCATGTTGGAGTTAAGGCAACTTTTACTAAAAGCTCCAACTGAAACTGAAATGTATGAATGGTGTTGACTAATGTGGGTGTGGTGGCCACCCCCAGCTCATTTACAGCAAAGCACTGGCGTATTTTCCACAAAGCCATGGAAATGGTGAGAGTAAAGGTGCTCATCTTTGGCACCCAGATATTCACAGGTGTCCTTTTGGCAGTCAAATATACATTCAAATCGTTCAGTTTGCCTGTTTATCCCTGCACAGAGAAGTTAGTAATCAAGAGTTGTCATAGCAATTGTTTGCTGGTTTAGTGTTTATTTCAAATAGAGTCTTAGCAACAAGCTTCACAGAAACAGACAGATGTGTTGAGTGCTATACATTATAATTATTATTATTATTATTATTTGAGCATACGTGTTGAGCAGTGACGGAAAGTAACTAAGTACATTTACTCAAATACTGCACTTAAATACAGTTTTGAGGTAGTTGACTGTTGACATTTTATGCTACTTCACAAATATCAGATGGAAATGTTCTACATTTCTTTCACTAGATAAACAGCAGATTAAAAATTATACATACAGTACAAAGCAGTACATTTAAAAAAAACAGGGTCTCTTGTACCACAAAACAGAATATAAATTACCTCCATATTGAAGTAATGCTTACACATGAACATTTCAGTAATAATACTCTAATAATACAATAACATTGTTCAGCATGTTGAGATGTAATAATGCTAAAAGTATGCACATATAAAAAGGTATTAGTGGATGTAACCATCGTTGGATCCAACAGGTACTGGAGAGAGTGGAAAGAGCACCTTTATCAAACAAATGAGGATTATCCATGGAGGAGGATACACAGCTGAGGACAAGAAGAGCTACGCCAAACTGGTCTTCCAGAACATATACACGTCCATGCAGACGATGATCCGAGCCATGGAGACACTCAGCATATCTTTCTCTAGTCCTGAGAACCAGGTCTGCTCCTTTTTATAACTTACTTTTGACTCTAGTGTCCAGGTTTATTTTGGTTCATTTTTGACAATGTTCTTTGCTATCATATTTATTTTTCTTTAGCACCTTTTAAACCATCTTCCCCCCAGATGAAACCCTTTTATTCTGACTCTTCACTTTCTCAATTTAACAAAGTGTAAAACTTTGTTAAATCGACAAAGTGTCTTTTTCACTGAAAGTCAATTTGTGACATTGTAAATTAATTGAAATATTAATGATTTTACAGCTTACAAAACTTTTATTTTTTAAAATTTCTTTCAAAAAATGTTATATGCTGTATGAGAACCCCACAACAGCACTTTCAGCTTCTTTTTCTGATGTGCAAAGTATCTTAGATATGAAAATCAAATAAAATCAAAGCTTGATTCCTGTTTCTTCTCCTCTCTTTGATCTGTTCACAAAGAAGGTGTGGACATGTGAGATGGATCATTTTCTAATCGTCTTAATCGTCCTCATGTCTGACTGTGTTTGCAGAGCCATGCTAACTCAGTCCTGGAGGTGGAGGTGGATAAGGTGGAGGAGTTAGATCAAGGCCTTGCGATGGCCATCAAGAGTCTGTGGGAGGATGGAGGAATCCAGGAGTGCTACGACCGACGCAGGGAGTACCAGCTGTCCGACTCCACCAAATAGTGAGCATCAGTCAGAGATTCTGCTCTCTCCAGCTCTGCCACAGATATTGTAGTATTAGAAAGCATTATAATGGGCAGGGCTGTAGCTAAGTTCTAACCTCAATATTAAAGTAGTAAAGTATTTTTACTTTTATTTTTAATTTACCTTCTAAAGTGAAAACCGTAAACATGGTGGGTATTTTATATTATGATACTTGAATTTTTAGACTCAAATCTGACGACATTAAGCTCAAAATAAATAAAGTAAACAAGTAAAGGATTCAGTAATTCTCCACCAGCATGAGAATTTAGACATTAATGTTGTTAAATGAACTGATAACTAAATTGAAAAAAAGAAAACTAGAGAATCTTTTTGGTGTGTAAGTGGGATGTACACATGACTATAAATTATATTGAATAGATTGGACTCTTGACCTCTGTATTTCTAGCTATAGTCCTGATTATAGGTGTCCTTGGTATTTTGTCCACCCATATATCTGTCTTCCATATTTTGTAAATACAAGGAGCCACTGGAATGAGCACAGGAGGTGTCCCACCAGGCCACACAGACGAATATCTGCTGACAGTGAAATAAAAATTAACATTAAAAACCTGCTTTTTGTGAAGTCATTGATGATCCACTGATGATGCAGATAAAAAGAAAAAGAGAAACTCTTTTTGGTTGCAGTTACTATTTTGGGAAATGAACACAGTACAGTACTACAGTACATTGTATTTGTATTTTTCTATTGCAAAGGTCCTTTTCACCTCCCTTTTATGTCTCTCTAGGTTTCTCATATTCTCTTAAATTCAGACAGTTAGTATATTTTCTATCTGCTTAAACAGCCACAAAAATCCAATTTCTGATTTCTCCTCCTTCTGCTTGTGCACATTTTTTCAGCTATCTCTCCGATCTGGACCGAATTTCACAGCCCTCATATTTACCTGAGATTCAGGACATCCTCAGAGTCCGCGTGCCAACCACGGGTATCATTGAATACCCGTTTGACATGGAGAATGTCATTTTCAGGTGAGATAGAGAATACCAACACAATAGGTAATAGCTTACCTATATTACACTGGAACTGGCATCACAGGTGATTTATGATGTGGCATGCCTCTTCTGTTGTTGGGATTGGCTGTTGTTACGGCAGGATGGTGGATGTGGGGGGTCAGAGGTCAGAGCGGAGGAAGTGGATCCACTGCTTTGAGAATGTCACCTCCATTATCTTCCTGGTGGCACTCAGTGAATACGACCAGGTCCTCGCTGAGTGTGACAACGAGGTGAGAAATCAGTTCATCTGCTCCAGACTTTGATCCCTCAAAATGTGTCGTCATTGCTGCCTCTTTAAGTCCTGAAATTATATTTCAGAACCGTATGGAGGAGAGCAAGGCTCTGTTCAAGACCATCATCACCTACCCCTGGTTCCAGCGCTCCTCTATCATACTTTTCCTCAACAAGACCGACATTCTCCAGGAGAAGATCATGTACTCTCACGTATCCACCTACTTCCCTGAATTTACAGGTGAGTTAGTCTCTTTGCACAATCACCTTCAATTTGTATGTAGATACTGAAAGTGATGGCTCATACCTACAGCAGAGTTGTGTGCATATAGTTAGATGCTCTGTCTAATAGTAAGTGATCAGCATTTGTACATTTTAACCTAAACTGCTGTAAAGGGGACCTATTATGCTACGTTTTCCCTTACTTATAGTGTGTTATATAGGTTTTTGTGTGTGAAAATGGTCTACAGAGTCATAAGGATCAAAGTTTACAGCAAAGGGAGTAACTCTGTTAGGGTAAAAACCCAATTTTCTCCTTTGTATGAAACGCCTCCTTGGGGGTCCAGACATTACTTCCTGGGCCTATTGACTTCAATACTTCTCTTGGTGCTGCCCACCTGCAAGCTGGACACCCCCACACACGGCACAACACATTACTTTTTCTTTAGTTTGTAGCCATGCCGAAAAGACAGTGTTCTCAAGTGCCTGCAGAAATCTACCTATCATTTTTCCACGCTTCCCTCCACTGCTCCAAACATTATAGTGTGAGCCTGCACTTCAAGGACTGCTTTAGAAACCACGCACAGTTAGATGCTTCATTTTCACAACCGTTATTTCTGTAATTCACACTTAATGTGGCCGAACAAGGGACTGTCAGTCTGATTGTTATCGTGGATATGTGATGTTGTGTCTGATCACGTTAGTAAGAAGCAGCAGCAAAGACATAAATGCTTAAACATTTGTCGGTATTGTATTATTGCCAGTATGGTGTACCTCGTTAGCTCAGATAAATTATCCATAATCTAACTGCTGAGTTCATTTTTAAGTAGCTGTGCGCACTTAATTGTAATTCATTTAGATTTACCAGTGTCGTAAACCAGCAGGAGGTGAAGCGTTGGAGACTCCCTACCTGTCAACTGTCTGTCTGGTCCTCCATTTTTTATATTCCTTTAGTGTCCACACATAAAAGATCCAAAGGGATTCTCATAAAAGTATTCCAAGTTATGAATACTGTCGTCCGAAATCTTTGCAGATTGTCAGGCGTCTTGATTCGCAGCGTTCCGCATATTTCTCCCTCCTTCCGGCTGCCTGACAGTGTGCACGCTTGTTTTCGGCTCAGGGTCAGTTTGTGAAGGTGGATCGGGTAAATAAAGATGGACGTAGCCTCCGTGACGTCACCCATAGGCTATGGAGTGGTTTTGAAGCTCAGAGTTGGCCGTCCGACGTCGCCATCTTGCCAGTACCTGACTCCGCCGAACTTCCGGCCAATCCAAAAATGGTCAAAGATGAGGGGCGAGTCGAGCATGCCGGCTTGTGGCAGGCATATGCTTATCCGTCAGTCACTCAAAGCGGCACGCCCTCAATTTGCAGAACTTTATTTAATGGAATTTAAAGGAGTTAGTTATATAAAAATTCACCCCTGTATAGTTGTCATGAAGTAGGAAATAGGCTATATAGACCAAAACTGTTTTTTTGTACCGGGCTGTAAACATGTTTACTTCTGCTGTAAAGTTATGCATTTTAACATGAGAGTCTATAAAGATTGACTCGCTTTTGGAGCCAGCCTCATGGGCCAATCCAATAACTGCCTTGGGGGTCTCCGCTTGGTCTATCATTTTCTGGTTCAGGATGGACTCTTGCTAAAAAAAAAAGACCTTGTAAGACCTTCACTTATACAATCACCACTAGAGGCAGTGATCAGAGTTAATATGCACAAATGTTGTGGTAAACTTGTGATGTATGTGGCATATCTAGTGTAAAATGTGGCACATTAAACACTGAAAATATGTATTCAGAGACGAGCCACACTCCAATTCACACAGGGTTAGGGTTAGAGAGAAAACATTCTCTACACAGTTATTAGTTGTATTTGGGCTCTCATCATGTTTTGAAATCTTAAAAGAACAGGCTTGGCCGTTTTCTTTTTTTCTAAAACAAATGATAGAAATCATTTACCTGTTTAATTTATTGACAGTCACATTGAAATAATATTGACCCTGAATTGCAGGACCTCAGCAGGATCCTGTAGCAGCTCAAGAATTCATCCTGAAAATGTACCAAGAACAAAACCCAGACAAGGACAAGACGCTGTACCCTCACTTCACCTGCGCCACAGACACGGAAAATATCCGCTTTGTCTTTGTGGCCGTCAAAGACACCATCCTCAGACACAACCTGAAGGAGTTTAATCTGGTGTAAGAGGACAGGGGAGGAGACTTAAGGGATACAGCAGGACAGAAGGAAAGTCATGAGGAGAGCCAAAATAAGAGAATCACATCTTTTGTGCCTATAAAAAACCAGCCAAAGAGAATATGAACATGTTGTAACAGACATACTCAAACTACTAGTCTTTACTGTATATATGCTGATATGCTGCGAATACTTTCCTGTAGAAGAGAAAATTAGTGGAAAATCATATCATAGACCCATTGTGTGGACTAGTTATTTTATTCTTTCTTAGATCCTATATTTGTGTATTTTTGAGTGCTTGATACATGTACAATAGCTGGTAAGAGTTCCCTTTAGCCTTGATTTAATATTGTGTAGAAATGTTTTTTTTTCCTTTTCCTTTCTTCTAACAGAGCCACCTGTGTTTGCTTTTGCCTGCACATGCCTTATTTACTCAGGATAGTCAGCAGAACCACTGGTCTGATCTTGTTTTAGATGTGAATAATCTGTTGTGCTTTGAAAAACCTTACTTGACTGTTTCTTCTCAGGAGAGATGGAGATTATATTTATGTGATGTAAGTTTCAATAAGCAATTATAGTTATTTAAGAAAGGGTGCAATTTGTATGTTTGAGATTTTTGGGGTACATGAAATAAAGGAAGAGTGCACTAAAATTTGAAACACATATTTTATTTTTTTGAAAACAGCAGGGAAAAGAATTAAGCCACTGCAGTGAACCTTTTTCTCCCCAAAAACATAAATGACAAACATTAATGGCAACAGAAAAATTTAGTCATATTAAACTGCGATGCAACCCCAAACCAAAAGCAAACCTTTAAAATACACATCAAAGTAAACAGCAGCTGATAATAGTAGCATTCATTTCTTTTAAATATACTTTTCTCTGCATAATTTATCAACATAGTTGACATTGCATATGTGTGGTATAAAAACATAAAAATCACAAAATTACAATCTGCAATGCCATAATACAGACTATTGTGAGTATGATATATACAGACAGGATATTATATGAGATCAATATACAGCAGATTGATACATGTAAGTACAGTATAAAAATAGCATGCGTCTCTAAATTACACACTCAAGTCTTTATCTTGCAGAAATGTATAAAAAAGAGGAAAGTTATAGAGACTTAAAAAGAAAACAGGAGTTTTAATGACGCACATTTTGAATTATGTGTATTGTGAAGAAAATTTTAATTAGTATCCCTTTTGTATAATCCAGTATAAATAAACTGTGTACATTAAATTAGCTACAGCAAATCTAGGTAATTTTGCCTTGATATCACTCAAGCTGTTTTCTATCACTGGCCGATGCACTCATGTAATTTCTACAGCCAAATACAGCTTGTAATATGTTCAGTGAAAGTGAATGAAATATGTGACTCAAATGTGTATTTGACCGAGTGCGACAAGCAAAGCTATGAGGAAGTTGATAACATCTAAGACTCAAGCAGATATTAGAAGATGTGTTTGTAAACTCAAGACTTTGCAGTAGTTTTCATAAAATAAATCATTAAAAATCCATCATATGTGTGCAAAAGGGTGAGTGCAATCAGAGCAAAGAGTGAGACAATGTTTGGCTCAATGCATTCTGAGCGCTCTGTGGTAAATGAATGTTAGGTCAGCCGTCCATTTATTTATCCGTTTATAGCATTTCTGTTAGCATGCTCACATACAAACTACTCACCCAGTCTTTCACCCCAGACACACACTAACAGTCAACATACAGCGTCTTTTGTGTTTTTAGCACTAATCACACATGGAGGTAAACAAAACTAGCATGCAGTGAAGAACAAAGGCACTGACACACACACAGACTGTGTGTGTGTGTATTTTCATGTTTTTTTTATTTTTTTTTTTTATTCTCATCATTTTCTTGCTCTTCTTGACGACTCAGTATTTAGGTAAACTGTCTCTTGCATCCTCCAGTTTGGCAAGAACCCACTGAAGTTAAAGAAGAACCAAAGTTATGACTAATTTTAGCACAATCACACAATCATTTAGTGTTGTACTTGCATATCACAGGGACAAGGACATTGAGTAAAACTAGGTGGCTGGTTAATGTATAGATAATAGATAACAGGTATCAGGTGGACATTTCTTGAATAAATCATATATATATATATATATATATAGGAACACGTTATAGTCCAAATAATGAACTTACCTTGGCTATCTCAGGAGTTTTGAAGTTTATGATCTTCCCAAACTCTTTGGCATGGAAGACTGACTTTACTCTCTCCTGCAGTACACAAAACAAGGTTTAATGCAATAATCTAATAAATACCTGTTTAAAACCTGTAGTACATTTTTAAACACATCAGTCTCTTTAGTGCAAAAAAGGTACCATAGGATTTGGAGTTTTGTACCTTGGCCTCAATGCGAAGTCTGCGGTCCTCTACAATCATTGGTTCCTTGGTGAACTCCTCAAACAGATACTGCCATTCACAGGTCAGCTGGCCAAATGTGCCTTTGGTCACAAAAAATATGCCCCTGGAAAAGAAATTGCAAAGACAGGGTTAAAATGAGCCATGAACATCTTCTTTGTAAGACACCACAGCTAAAGGAAACAGTATACTGGTGGTTAGATAGGTTATCTTAACAGCTAGCTAGATAGATAAGATACTTCATTCATCCCCTTGGGGAAATTCAGTTGTCCAGTAGCTTGCACATATATGCAGTTTAGGTTTAAAAAAAAGTAATGGACAAACCATAACACCTCAGTGTGGTTAAATGTACACTGTTCCCATTGCTGGTGTGGACACTGTAGCTTATTTGTTTTAGCAGCTTTTGATAAAGAGCACAGAAATATTATATCAATAATCTTACTCTTTTTTTGTAGTCAATCAGATGCCAAACAACACTCACCTTTTGGTGATCATGAGGAAGTCGGAATCATTGACCTTGGCATGAGCGAAGTATCTGTACTTGGCAAAACGTCCATTCTCAATTTTCTGAGCGAAGACAGAAAAAAAGGAGATGAATATTTAAACAAACATCAAGGCAAAAAAACAAACAAACCAAAAAAACAACTGTCTGAATTAAAGTAAAATATGAATACCAATATGTCTACGTTCCAACTGCCTACTGTAAATAAACATGAGCTACCATGGGCCTCTGCAAAATACCTGCACAAAACTTTACTCTAATGGAAGTGGAAAGTGTGAGGTGGTGAGGAAAGATGGGATGAAACAAAGAAAATGGCAGGTAGAAGTTTAAAACATTTTATTGAGAACAATAGGAGAGTGAATGACAGAATGATAAAACAAACATTCATTACTGAAGAAAAAAAGACACTTGAAATTTTTTTTTTATAATTATGAGGAATTAATGAATATTTAAACAATGACAAGAAAGGTTTCGTTTGTTGGTTGTGAGAAAATGATGAAAGGAAAGAGAAGGTAGGTACAAAGTAAAAGAGATGAAAGATGATAGACACTGAGGAAAAAATAAAGAAAACACATCAAATGAATAAACAACTAAAAATATAAAATACATGGTAACACATTTCTTAAATTACTCTTTGATTTGTTTAAATCTTCCAAGAGTGAACTTCTAACTGACAGACAAACTGCAGCACAGACTACAGAAAAAGACAGCTGTCACTTCTAGCTTCTACACATTTTCTTCATCACCCTCATCCTCTGAGCCAGTTCTACACCATTCACTGTAGGCCAATCTCCTCTGTGGACACGACAAGAGAGAAGAGTGAAGGTCAGATCAGAGAGAACCAGAGCTTGTTTCTACCCAGACATCCACAGCTATTGTATGGGTCAACTGAAGTGGCACAGGCTCACTGTAACCAGCCAAAGACAATTCTTTCATTTTCTTCAAAGTTACTACAACTCAGTCCTTCAAATCTCCTGATGCACCACTAAAGGTTTAGACTTTCATGACAAGTAAATATAATAAATCTGATCTGAAATTGCTCCATTTAACTGAGTCTTACAAGTTGTTGTAGCCACTCCTGTGCTGGGTAAAAATGTAAAGATACCTGTAAATGAGATAAAGCTCAACACCTTTAATGTAGTAGCTACTGTATGTGAAGAGCACTGGTGGAACTAAAATAGAAGTAATAAAAGTTTAGATATGTCACACTGTCAATTAAAGACATATTAAAACCCACTCAGGCCAAGGTGAGAGCATGTTTGACCTTTTCCCCTCTCTATCAAACAATATTCTGTTGTATATTTGATTTTTTTCTTCATCTTTTTGCCTAAAGAGCAGTTAAACTTGCTTCTGTCCATCTGCTTTGCTGTCCCACAAGTAAATTAAATTCAGCCAAAATGCATCTGAAGCCCATTTAACCAGCTACATTAAAACACAAAACACAAGCATGAAATGTGGCATCCACTGTGATTTTTTGTGGATCTGAGGCTGTTGCCATTAGTCCTAAGTTGGCATGAGGGGAATAATGTGTTAGCAACACATTAAAATACACACATATCTAGCCAAGGTCTAAAACTGTTGATACAGATGAGTGACAAATTAAAGGACAAAATGAATTCAGTCATCAGCTGCACAGCACTCTCCACCACCATTGTCAAAACACCAAATGAGGAAATAACATTTGGTAGAATCTCTTTAGTTAAATTCAGAGATTTGTATCTTTAGTATCTTTACAAAAGAGCATTGAAGCTGCTCTGGAGGCTCACTTTCACTCAGAACTTTACTAAGGCACTTTAAATTGTCACCTATCTGTAGATTTTAGGGGAAATCCTACACAGGATCCTGGCTACTAGCTAAAAAGTACAGCTCTGACCTGAGACTCGTAAGCAGCGACTTCAACCCACTCCATCCAGCAGGACTGTTAGATGATGTCAGCACAAAAACATGACTCACAGCTTAAAGCGTGCAGTTTAAATGAAGCTGAACCGAAACACTAAGCAATACTAAAATCTACAAATATGAGAAACCCATGCTACTGACACACTGGCTCTGAACCAAGTTCAGGTTAATGTGTTCATCAACAACATGTTCAGTCAAGTGGCTGCGATAATTATTTTTGCTAAAACCTCGAGGACAACACTTGCATCCAGATGTAGCACCATTTGTAAAAAAGAAAAAAATGATGTTAACACACCACAAAGCACTAAACAAATGTTATCTGAGTAATAGTACAGAGCAACAACAGTGGGGTGGGACTGCACAGAAGCTCTGCCTCAGTAAAACACAGCATCTGTTTTTCCTGATCCTGGTGATTTCATGAATGACTGTACTTGACTGTAATTTTTGCTTTGGAACTGAAGGTGTTCTGACATTTCTTAGAGGTGACTCAATCAAAGAGAGCTGAGATGAATTGGACTGATCTATAAGCATGATCTATAAACAGGAAAGACCAAAAAATCTCTAAAACATGGAACAGAATTTAAGGACAATTGAAATAAAACAGACTGAAGGGAGGATGATTTAAAAAAAAAAAAAAATGTTTTCCTGTAAATCAATTGCTGTGTGCATGTAATAATAATAATAATAATAATAATAATAATGATAATAATGATATTCGTAAAGTAGCTCTTAAGTAGAGTGTTCCTCATCTCAATGAAATGAGTGCTTTGGAGAGCTGACGTTGCAGAGATTTTTGTCCTACCTGGAGCATCTGACTGCCGAGGCCTTCCCTCTCCTTATAT